CTGAATGACTACTCATGATATTACAAATATACGACATCACTTGCTGAGCGATTTTACTACAACCATTCACTTCACAAAATGTTGCAGCACACAGAATTGCTTCACCACTATATTCTCTATTTTTCGTAACATTGTTCCCATAAAGGTGAAAATTTCTACAAAAAAACTTTTTCATTATCAGAAGAGCAAGTATTAAGCATAATCCTGGATCACATGCTCCAATGATCGCCAACATTACAGCATGTTCTCTGCAATGAAGTCAATCACAACTTATAAAAAGTCTATTATATATATATGTATACGTACAAGTACACGATGAGCATCGACATATTATAGCATCCTGTCAAGAGTTGATGAAATAAACCATCTGAACTCATATATCACGACTTTTTAGAAGTTTGCTAACAACTTGTTTGTTCGCGCATTGTTTTGCAAAATACACATTTAAAATCAAGGTACTTATTGGGTTTCATTTCACTATCAAATTTAAATCACAATTGAATACTGATGTACAATGAATAGTAAGCATACCGTTTCAATAGTAGTTTCGTCCCATTTTGAAGCTAAGTTTTTCCCTGATGACCGTAATAACGCACTAATTGCTTCGATTAACTTTTCTTTACCATCCCATATTCGGCCATGCAGCGCGCTTATTAAACTATCATAGAGTGTTTCTGAAAGAATGTACAGTAAACATTTATTAAATAGTTGACACTCATATTAACCATCATTTAAACTCAGCTTTTTGTTTCTGAGCTTCTCTATTTACTTTAGCTGCTCGCAACTTGCTTTACCTTAACGAAGAAAAACACGAAAGTCACTACATGACAGAATAATAAGCTAAAATTAGTTAACATTTTCTTCAATAGTGCAAGTAGATTTCAGAAACACCTAGTGTAAAGCTATTTCACATCTATTTTGGCATAAAAAACCTATGTACAATGAACTTATTCATAAATCAACAAGTCTCTAACTGATTATTACTGACTGCTCTCTTCCAAAACTGTAGGAACAAACAAACCAGCACAGTCAACGTCATCACTGAGAACACCAGATTCGGCAACTGCTACAAGTACTTTTGCCGCTTGTGTTTTCATTGCAAAAACAGAACTTGTATTTAGTGTAACTAAAGCCACCTCGATCATTTCCTTACGATATAAACGCATGGCAGATGAAGTGTCTGTGAGGAGTTATACATTTTTACTATCAGGTCGTTGGCATGGAAATTAATATTTCTTGACCAGTCCTTAACGGACTGAACCTCATGAAAACAAAATATATATGTAGATTTTAGTATATATATATATATATATATGTAAATTCTATTTTATCATATATGTAGATTTTACTCTAAATATGATTAAAAAATTCATGAAATAAAAACAAAAACATGTTAGCCGTGAAATGGCTGCTACAAGAACAAGATGACACCTGGAACCAACTCGAACCATAATTCATCCCACATTTCGAGTTTTTTTTTCCCTGCTTCGTCATTTTTTTGCAACTGAAAAATCATAGTTTCATATTAAGATTTCGAACTATTTTGTATGAAAAGACGAAGTTATTCATTAGAATCACCAAAATCCCCGTAAAAAGCCCATTTGAATTTCATTTCTTTTGGAAAAACTGCTAAGAGAAACAGGCTGTCAACTATTGATTAAAAAATATCCCACCAAAATTGGGAGATGAAAAGAAACCCAGCAATAATACGAAATTCCATTTGCAGAGTTCAAGGAAAGAAGTTCAAGCATGAACAATACGTTAAACCAAAATCAAATATAAAAACATCAAAGTTACCGAAGACTCACCTTCCTGACATTTATAAAGAAATATAAATGGAATAACAGCAGTCAGTGATTCAGAAAGAACATCAGTATTTCTTGATAAAAAGCGCAGAAGATGTAAAATAGTTACTTCATCTAAATATAGGCTGTCATTCAAGATTCAAATTTTTAGAAAAATTGCAAATTCAAAAAAAGACTAGCAAATTTCACAACGTCCTTCCAAAGACATTTTGTATTATTTAACTTATGTGAACTTATTTAAACTAAATAAACTGAAAAATTTTTCAAGAATCCTATTATGAAGTAGTAAAACTTCCTTGGATTTTGAATATCCATTAAAACATGAGATTTCGGCAGCTTAATAACTTTCAAAAGTACTCAAAAAATTTGAAGCACAAGTTTTAAGATATTCCTCATATCTAGGTCGCATTAAAAACTATTTATGCATTTTATGCATTTCTTATTCATTCCTGTACCAATTGAGAGTTGTTCAAGTTTCTTCGTCTCGCAGTCAGTTTACCTTGTTCACTTCGCAATTTTTGTTTCATGTAATCCAAAATTCGATTTACTTCTTTTTTCGAGGAAAAAGGCAATAAATACGACAAACAGGACGAAAACTGTTTTTTAATTACCAGATTACGGTCATTTAAGCCGCTAAGAAGGATCCGTATCATTTTATCTGGAAGATAAAATAGTAGTGAATATATTTAAGAAAAATTGAAATTTCTGACACAATATGAGTGTGCTCAAGGAAAATTAAATTTTGAGACGCGATACCTTCTTTACTAGTTGTGACACCAAAAATGAAAAAACTGTACGTTTCTGTTTGAAGTATTCTTTAATAAAAATTACTGTACTTTAAAAAAGATTCAGAAAACCAACTTTTCTACTTCTCTTGATGGTGCCACAATATTATTAGTATAAGAATAACGAAATTTATGAACAGAATCCAAAAATATAAAGAACGCACCACATGAAGATCGACAAGATATCAGCAGGTCCTGACGTTGAAGGCACAAATCGATGATAAATTGACAAGTTCCAGTACGTGTCGTCACGCCAACACTGGATCGTAATTGTTCGATCAACTTATCGCTCAACTCAGAGTTGAAAATGTCTTTATCTACATACGGGACAAGGTAACGAAGAGCACTCATCATCGGAGAACTATGCGCTGCTGACATACGGGCTGAGTCCAGCTTAAATAACGTTCTTCACAAGGTTTGTCCGAAATTGACTAATAAGTTTAATTAAATCTTCCACAAAATGAAACAAAAGTAGGAGCATCTAAGATAGACATTATGATTGAAAAAGAATGTATTAAGTAAAAGAGAAGTTAAAGTCACACAGTACGAGCAGACAAATCTTACAAAATCCATTTCACACTTTAATTCATTATGGCGCAAGTTTTTTCGAAATGCTATAATTCACTGACAAATGTATATTAGGACCAATACGTCCTCAAAAATTTACCACTTCCAGTTCGTCTAAACTTGATCTAGCAGCAAGATAATTTAGAACTGTTGACTCCTCTTCACTTAGTGAGTCTAGTAAGCATGGCACTATTACATTTATATGTTCTTGTAAAACCAATCCAGCTTCCTTTGCAATGCCCATGATCATTTTCAAGCTGAAAAGTTATGAATTGCTTATTTATAATCGAGAAAGTTTTACGGTGAGCAAAGAAGACTTGCAAAAATTGGAAGTTGTCTTAAGAAGCAAACCTCAAAATTTTATTAGTTTTAACGCTCGACTTAACTCCTTTCTCAATAATAACAGGAAGTATCATCCCAAGCAATCGGGTAGCTTTAGCGCCATTAACGGAGGAACATTTGCGTACAGTAAATTTAATGAGACTTGACAGGGTGCGTCCTGCTGCCATTCGAACTGATTCCTGAGCAATACAGCATACAGTTAGATAAGCATGCAAGAGAAGTTTCGTATTCAGTTGCAATTTTTTGGAATGTTTGGACGAGAAATTAGACGCCTGATTCTTGCCGAACTGGAAGAATAACAATGTTTCCAGTATTTTTTGTTATAGAGTACATCCCATATGAAATTACGCACCTTTACATCATCATGTACTCGATACAATATTTCGAAAAGTTGACCAAAATGTTCCACTATTTCATTAGTACAATGAGCGCTAAGCAAGTCTGCTAACGCCAGACAACTGCAAAAATGTAAGAGTATGTATGGAATTCTTGGCTCTAAATTAACCAAATAAATTACCAACTCAGTTGCTCAGTTATTATGGCAAAACATGCATAGTTAAAACAGAAAAGAGAAAGTGAACGACAAAATCAGAAACTTCTATTTGTAATTAGATATATGAAGAGTTAATGACAAACCGAGCACAGTACCCGTCTGCGGCAAATGAAAAACTCGCTTGCTTAAATAGTGTAATTTATCATGATATTTCATAGAAATAATCGAATTATATTCGACTGTAGCTGTAATTTATAAACGAAAAAAAAGCTAATGAAAAGAGAGACCTCGACTCACGCGTTCGCCACTGAGGATCTGTAAGGGTTAATTTAAGTTCGTTGAAAATAGCATCTGCATATTCTTCAATCTGAAATTAAGGTGCACTAGCGAGATATCGGTACTTAGCATGTTATATCTGCTAAATCAACGTTTGTTACATTTAACTTTTATTTAAAATCATTATTATGGACAGAAACAATATCTTGCTAACGTCATAAGGATCTTGAATACATTGAAGTGTGCATTGCTTTCAAAGAAATTATAATTCAAATTATAATCTCGTATTATAATGTACTACGGAAATTATGTTTAGCATTCAGAAATACATAAAATAATTGTAATAATCGATGACATGAAATCCCAAGTATGACAAAAAAATCAAAATAAATTAATTTCCATTGATTCAGAATACATCGCTTTTGTTGGAAACTGAAACGAACCACATTTTTCTTAGAAATTGTGACTGCTTGCCAAATTGACTGCATAGCGCTTTGAACTTTCAAATCAGGATCGTATCGGTATCTATAAAGTTTGGGCACCAACTGCGCCAAATACGGTTCCATTACACTTCCGGCTTGTTGCATTATAATACCGAAACCAAAAGCTGCACCTTAAAAACAAGGTACTATTTAAAAAACTTTTAGCATCTTAGGAAAATTTATAGAAATAAATTAAAAATTTAAGGGAATAAAAAAAAACTCATTTTTTTGGAATTCCACAAAATATTGTGATTTGCAAGTTGCATGAATTTGTATATAAGATCTGGCTGATTCAAATCCGTGGCCAAACTGCAGAGTTCTCTATACGTTGTTAAATTTTCCCTATAAGAAGTTTAATCGTTTCGATGCCAGAATTGGAATAGGACAGTAGTGAACCAATTAAAATTATAAAAAAGGAAAGATATTGGAAAATAAAAACATTAACCGCTGCAACAGCGACACACATAATTTAAACTAAGGACAAAATTTAAACCAAAATCAAGTATTCAGGCAGACCCCCCTGATGTAGTGCCCAATTCCCCCCTCGAAAACAAGAGGGTATTTGGTGCAATTGGATCGACTCGTTTTCGTCCAACTGATAGCGTATTAACCAATTCTTCAACCATTATTTTCTTTTGCTCTTCAGAGCCTAATTCGAAGATAATACCAAGCCCCTCGCTTGCAACTTCCTGAGAGAATTCTGAAAATCATTATTAAAATAAAGCACTAATGAAGCTAAATTCAATGATTAACAGGCACGTTATCATGACAAAGTTGAAATTTATTTCAAACTGATCACAGAATTCAAACATTTTAAGCAACAGCAAGCTTATAAAAATTATGCTAACTATCCTAGATAGTTGTTAAAATTCCTACCCGTTCCAATGGATTTTAAACTGCTTTCACTAAAAACTGCTAACTCCATAAAACAAACTGTAAAACAGTTGAAAAAAAAAGCGAGCAAATAAACCATTTGTTTCAGTTAAACCATTGGTAAAAGCATATTGAATAGGACGTAAACTGTTCAGTATGCAATTAAGCTTTATGACAGCACATCGCTTAACCAGAGTAAACAACCAAATGAGCACAGCTTGTCGCAAATGGCGATTTGTGTGATGTAATTTGGCATTCAGAATCTCCAATAAATTCGCTACTTTTTTTTCAACACTGTCCCGTTCAGCGAGAGATAAGTTCCTTTCCTGAGAATTTTGTTCATGAAGCCGAATATCCCCAAAAAATAATAAACTGTTGGGACTTTTTTACTTTAGAATTTTGCACATTTTGACTGCCTCATTCAGTAAATCATTTTGTTACACTTCCAAAAAATTTCAAACTAACCAGAAAATATTCCTCTGTTTCGGTGAAAATATTTCTACGTGATGGAGAACTTTCACCGAAAGCAGCGTCGAAAAGCGCACTGCCAACTGTAAACTGCAATTCTGGTTCGGTTGCTATCTGAAGAAAAAATATATATTGTTGCCTGAACTTTTAGTCGATTATCTAGTAAACAACGCAACTAATCATTTAGTACCAGACATTCACAATTAGGAATCTAAAGAAAAATTTGAAGACAAAAATGTTAAACTGGAACAATAATTCCCTAAAATTCTAATATTTTCATAAGCTACTACTAATAATTACTTCATTAAGAAAGAACATTGTTAGAGTACTAATAATAGAGAATATTTCATATTTACTATTGATTTAATACTTTATGGTAGTCACAACTAAACGCGACAAATTTGAAAACGGACCTCACCACATGCAAATAATTGAGTCAAGATTTTTTCGTATAAAATAGTTGGCAAGCTATGCAATGAAAGAAAACCAAGGCACTGAGCAGCTGACTCCTTCATTTTTGATGTTAAAGTGTCCTTTCGAGATGCTGCTATCTTTCCTAGCAATTCACAGAGCGAATAAAACTGATTATCCGAGGTTGATGACACTAATTTACTCTGGAAAACAGAGCTGAAGTGAAAAGTTGAAATAAAATGACATCGAAATACCAGCAATTTTATGAATCGAAGATGTAAATATTATGAAAGGAATTCAGTGCATGATACTCCTTCGTCATGTGATCTTAAAAATCGTTGATTCATAAATTTGGAAAAAGAAAATTTAAAATCAATTAAACAAAACTAGCTACCACTTAATATCAAAATTAACAAGAATCATGGAAGTAATTACCTTTTCTACCTCATTCAGACAGATGACGGCTCTTCTCAATAATTCTGCCAACGAACCACAAGCTGCTTCACAATATTGCTGTGCGGACAGTGTTTCCATCATATTCACTAAACAAACTTTAATTGCGATGATTTCTCCAGCAGCGAAGTCTGCCAGCGGTTGAGTTGTTAAATATGCACAAAGCCATGGGATTCGAAAGGGTAACTCCTGAAAAACTGGTTTCTTCTGCAATTTCCATTCAACGTCATAAAGAACATGAAATGACAGGCATTGTGAACTATGATTTTAAAATGGAATATCTAAATAAAATTTGAAAAACCACCATCCATTTAACTGAACTAATATATCAATGTTTCGGCACTGTTCCGTGTGTTTTCTTTTTTCAATGATGACCAACAAACACAAGAATTTGAACACATCTTTAACAAAGAGAAAAAAATTTCCGAGCATAACAGCATATCTTTTAGCCAATGTACTCATTATTATCATTAGTTTACTAGCAACAATAATAAGAAACTTACATTGTAACTGTTAAACTGCTCCAAGCAACGTTCTAAACATTCCTTCCTTTCAAAATCACTTAGTATCAAACTGTAGAGTTGAGAAAGTTTTGCACAAACACTTAACCGAGAACTAGATTTTAGATGACGCTCTAACAATGCCACAATCTGGAATGCTTCTGAAGTTGCAGATTTAAACAATAGTATGGGAGAATAAATCATGAATTTTATTGACTTTGTTAAACAAATGAATTTAATCGGTAATGAGATTGCAAAGCTCCACGATTAAAAGTGTCCTGCGATGATTTTGAAAAATATCTCCCCTTCCTAAAAAAAAAAAAAAAAACGGAAAAACATATGAAAACAAGAAATTATTTGCTCTGTCACAATCACTCGTAGTATATAACATAAGAAGGCTAAGCTGACCTATTATCACATATGGAAAAAAAAAATCCAAATAGTACTGTGCTACACCAGATGATAGTCAGAATTCAAAAAATGAAGCTTGGAATTTGAATAATCGAAGTCAAAATATATTAACAAAAGAGAAAACAAGTGTCATCTCACAGGATTGTCAAATAGCGTTGAAAATATAAATATCAAAAAAGAGGAAAATAACGTACCATTGCACGGTAATTATGATCTAAATCTGCACATCCACTCTGCAACAACAAACAAGCCATTTCGATCAGAAAGTTATCTGAAATTTTATTTTCAATTGAGGTTTCACCATCAATTTCGCTCAATTACTGCTGTTACTGAGAAATATCATGAACATCAGTTCATCCTGTTGTAGGGAAAAAAACAAAGCACAATGTCTTATTACTTTTTTGAGCTAAGATTGAAATAAAAAGAACCATGTGATACAATTAATACGCGTGGTAGGATTTTTCATTCAGTTTCTTAATGGATAATATTTCCTTTCAGAAATTTCTTAGAACTAAATAAATGAGATACCTGGCTGTGTTTCAATTGCTTTCAAAACTATTTCTAGAAAACGATGTAAAATCTCAAGATGCTCTCCACTGAACGAAAGTAGATAGCTATTGATTACAGGATAATCTGATGTTCCCGAAAAAACATCCGTTTCTGCTAGCGAAACTGGTCGTAGCGAACAAGCAACTTGTAAGTTGGCGTACAGATAAAGTGCTGACTGAAAATCTAGAGATTACATAACAACTAGGATAAGTCAGCTTAATTTTTAAAAACCAAAGAAAAAATTAATAAAATAAAAATAAATACGAGTCTGAAGAGTTTGAAAATAAAAAATTCTAAACTGGATTTAGCAATATTTGCCACAGAATCAATTTATTGATTTCTGTGAATTCCAATTTCTCTGAAAGTGTTTGTGCAAAACTTCTGAAGAATAGTCCTACTCCTTTCTAAAGGTAAAATTAAAAAAAGGGTTTTTTTGTTGCCGTAAAACATAACCACAATTTTTTAAAGAAATAAAAAGGCGGTTTAGTATCCCTAATCACTTGATCTTCCCGAAAGTCAACATGAGTTGTACACCAGTTTCAAACATTTTTTCAGAAATGCTTTCAACTTACAATATGAAACACTTCGTCAGCAAATGCTTCTTTCTTCTTCTTTGTTTCAGCAGTTGAAAAGTCTACGCTTCCAGTAGCACCTTGCAAGTTCAATTTTCGGTGAATAAATTCAACCAAATCCTTAAAAGAATGATTTGCACCCCTGTTTCAAATAGTAAAAAACCAAAATGAGTAAACCTTACTTTAAATTTAGGTGTCGTCATGGGATCTGCAACTGATAAATTCAGTAGACGTACAGCTTCACGCTTCATTTCATCTCTCCTGAATAAATATTGCTCTATTTTGAAAAAATCTGGACAGCCAAAATCACTCTTTTTTAGAGCCTGATTTACATTAATGTAAGCTTACGAGCAATAACGCTACAGGTCATCAGCAGTACTGCACTCAAATACACTGATATGCTTACGGATCTCCACAAGTTCGACAAAGAATCCAGCGGAATTCCAATGATGATGTTTTCACCAATGTTTCAACAAACTTTAGAGCGACAAGACGGCATTTAGGTGAATCCTGAAAATATTTCTAATAGGTTATTTAATCTAGCTGAATAATTTAACTGGAATTAGAGAAGTTAAAAGGTCTATTTATATGAAATTAAGATTAGAAATTATTTACCAACTGTTGCATATAGAATTTGCACACACTTCATTACCAAACATCTCAAAAAATGAAGTGGGCTGACGTAAACATCAGTTTATCGATTCATGAACCAACTATTACGATCAGTGGAATGGGCATAATGAATGAGAATAATCACACACTATTTCTTAGAATTATTACTGAATGTCTGTGAAAAAAAAAATTGTTCGAGTTTAAATATTTGTCTGAAAAAGTCAGTTTTTTATTTGCATTACTTCTACTTCAATTATTTCTATACTTCCCGTCGAAATAAGTGAACAAATTAAGGCATCCAACAAAAATATCGCAGGACAGTATTCTTCCTCAAAAAAAAGAAAAAAAAACTGCAATATAGCTTTAAAAATCATGCAGCACTTTAAATAATAATTTCAACAAGTTATGCAGCCAAAAAAATTTGATATTTGTAACAGTATTAAAATACACGGTAAGAAGCTTTTACCTCAATAGTAACCTCTAAGACATATATGCTACGAACTGAAATCACTGCTTCTACACAAAAAGGAAAGTGAAACTATTGACTGCATAGAACCAAAAATAGAAAAACAATAATTTTATAATGTACAGGAACTCAACCATTCCCCATGTAACAAAAATCATAAATGAAACAAAAAACTTACGTGAACAATATATGAAGAAATGAGTGCTTCCAGAACACCTCTTAAAGCAACATCATTTACAGCACAAAAAGCGGGTAACCAGCTCACTAAGCAATCTGCTATTGCAAAAGATATTTCTTCTGGCGCCTAAACATTTAAAACTTTTTTAAAAATGCAGAAATAAACCAGAAATTTGAAATAACATGAAAAAATGACCAATGAGATCGCATCAAATGTTTCCTGCAAAAGAGCCATATCATTCACAACCAATTGCGGAACTTTACAACCAATAATACCAAAACACTGGTAAGCTGTAGCAACAACACCCGAGGACTGCAAAATACAAGTAATTTAATGATGCCATCAAAAATGTTTTCAGTGATAAAAGCAATTGTACGCCGACCAATCCTTTCCACCCCAACTATATTCAAAATTATTTGTTAGGATTCTTTGCCAAATGAAAGTAACCAATTAACCAGCATTCTGTGATGCGAAAATGTGATAAAAAGTGCCGTATTTAAACAGAAAGTTCTAACGACCCCTTATGAACCGAGAACTCGAGTTAAAAAATTAACTTAAAAAAACTAAAAAAAATCAAAATTAACAGACCTCATTCTGGTCAATCAACTTCCTTATAGAAGAAAATATGACTGGGCCAAATGTTGGCAAAGCATTTGCAGGAAAATTTTTCACAATAAGCAACAAAAAATCAATGCTTGCTTGTTGCAGTTTGAGAGGTTTATTCTCAACGAAATCTTCCTTGCTGAATAAGCCATCAAATGCTACCTAAAGAATATGAAATACACTAAAACATAGAATCCATTGCGAGAAAGTCAATACAGAAAAGCCAAATGAATTAACAAAGGAATTTGAAAAAAGCAAATCTTGAGCTTTCAAAATCAATTCGATTCCTTATGGTTCAAAAGTTCAAAAGAAAATGGACCTTTCTATAGATACTTGACAAAAACATATTTTACCTTAATATTATATGGGAAAGTTTGGACCGCAACAGGAGATTTCATCAGTAGAGGTATTAATTTCAGCTTAATAGGAATCGTAGCCGGCAAAACTCTATCGTTTTCGTCCAAGGTCTAAATAAAGCTTACTATGTATTGTTAATTTAATTTATGATTCGAGATTTCTAAAACTTATGTTTTGCATTTTGAATAATTTTACAACAGGACAGAAATATATCAATAACTGACAACATAAACGTGGTGGAAGTTACCTGAAGAGACAAACCGAGGTATAAATTGAACAAAATGTTCACAGTGTTCTTATTTCTCAGAACTTTTTCCAAATCAATCTTTTTGATAGCAATATCACCAGCTATTTCAACTTCACTAGGACCAAGCGCAATGGCTCCAATCAGTAATGGTAAGATCTCGGCTTCAGTAAAAATCACTGACGACAACACCTTTATTACAGATAGCTTTAACTGGAAAATAAAGATAAGTGCAATATGTCAATAAGTGAAAAACTGTTAAAAATTGTTTACTGTCCAGCCAGTGCTTGAAGTAGTAATAGTTAGAACTTTCCTACTTTCAAAGTTCTGTCTCAGGTACTCCCGAAAAAATCTAGGGCTGAAAGATATTGTAATTCTTGGTGGAATTCAAGTGTGGAAGGAACATAACATACCGTAGTAATGCTAATTTTAGGATCATTTAAAACATCTTTAGCAATTCGGAGAAATCCATTTTTTGACATGCATGGGTGTTCACAAAAGTTATCTAACGTCATGGTCATATTTCTCTTCTCATTGCTGAAAAACAAACCTGAGAAATGACGACATGGTGAAAAAATAATAATTTATAAAAGCCAACAAATCGCGACGATATATGTTGGATTTTTATAGCTGTGTCCAGGATTGGCATGCTATCAGTAGAGGTTTCGAGAATTTCCAGTATTTTAAAACATACTAAAATGACTGACCTTAAATTTGGGAAATACAACACGTCTGAAAAAAATCTCAATATTTCCCATCTGACTACACTATTTTTCAATGATTCCAATGATGGCCACACCTGCTGGTTCATATCAGAAAGAGATATCCAAGCACGTGCAGTTAAGACAATAAGCCTGCAATTTTTTTTTCTTTGGTTAACTGCAAACCGGAACTTATGCTGCTTCTAAAAATACTACCAGAATTTTGGAGTAGAATACTTTCAGCTTGATAATATTGAGATACGACTTGTACAATTCACTGTGAAGTGCTAATGATAACAGTTAGCATAGGTGCACAGTAAAAATCTTTTTCCGAATAATTACACGTGATTCACTTCAGGCTCTGATGGAGGAAGTAGAACTCACTGATTGAATATCTTTCTCTCGTTTACATATTTCAACAAACCATTCAGGAAGTTTGGAAGAAGAGCAATGTGCTCTTTAGTATCCACACGATCCAATGCTATTCTAAGGTAAACAATTGCAAAATTCTGCAAATTACTAAATTGAGAAACGCAGATTATGCGCTCTTTATATGCAAAAATGGTCAGAAAAATAAGCTGTTAGTTTCCGTCTGGTAATTAATGAAATACATAATTTTCTGGGCGAAAATTTCGCATCCAAGTGTGCGGGATGTTCATGTCAGAGATCGAGGTAGGATAATGGAAGAGGACTAATAAAGAGACAATAGAGGACCAAAAAATCGTACCGTCAATGTGTTACTTTTTACTTTATTTTCATATTTAATCTTTCATCCGTAATAAATTGCTTTCTGAAATACTTAATATGATAGTTATGGTTGCATTATTGCGAAAGAAACTGTAATCCATACCTTTCCTAAAACGTTCCCTTGTGTTGAAGACAATATATAATGCAAGATAGTGTTCAACGGTAATATTATCATTAAATTGTTTTTGATTCTACGATTTAAATGTGTCAATATTTCCATTCCCTTGAATTAGGACATTTTTCTCCGCATATAACTTCGTGAATTTAAGAAATATTAAAGAAAAAAGTGATCTCTTTCAAAACCAAAGTACGAAACATATTGTCAGAATTTTGTCTGGTTAAAGGCACTGGTCGGATGCCATTTACTGATAAATATTACTTTATTTCGGACTTCAACTTCGCCTTTAGAAGTGCAATCTATAATATCCAGTAAATGTTTCCGAGTAAATGCTTCCAATTTCGAATCATCGTTGATTAAAGCTAAGTGAAGGAAAAGACGTTCCACTGAAATGAAAACTGTTTAATAAGGGTGTGAAATCCGATGGAAGAGATATGAAGTTAATCCAGAAGGATGTAACTATGAAACAATACTTATTAAATAACCCATTTTCCATCAAAATGTATCTACTCTGATTCTTAACCCAATGTTGTTGATGGTCTCTTTAACTAGTATCTTATAGACAGAGATGATATAGTATTTGTTTTGTCAGATAATGGAAAGGAAGATACCAAATCACCCTTAGTTCGATTACGTTGCAAGTTATGTATGAAATGACCGCATGGTGTGGAATTTGATATCCTACATTTACTGCTCGTAACTTTTTTTCGGTCAACGCAATGAAATCAAACTAACATTCAAAGCAAATTTCGGAGTTTGTTCCGGCAATAACCATATTTATGACTCTAAAATAAGTCTTCATAATGTCACCAGCTCATTATTTATAATCTTTTAACAGCTTAACCAATGAGTAGAAAAATCCTTTTCTTCTACGTCTTTTACACTTTATTCTTTTTCACTTTGTTCCTTATTAAATTCTACATTATATCTCAGTTTGTTTCAGTATCACAATATCTCACCTCAATTGAAAATAAGAAACAAAAATATAAGGAATGGTTCTACAGCTCTCTCATTTGGCATTCTATTCCATTTTAAATCAATCACTGAACCATTCAGCGAACCACTGGCTAACATACTTATTTAATCACTTTCAAATCAGCTCAATTACCTAATTTCATTCTAAGCTCACTCACTTACGATATCGACTATGGGAATACCAATACTAAGGTAGCATCAATTTACTAGTCATAAAACGATATTACGACCATTATGCTAAAGAGTCATCCCACTGCAGCTTTTGTGAACATCCTCCAAAATCCTTAGGGAAATCGCATATTCTCGGTCTCCAATTTCCCGGGATTGGCTTTTTTTTGTTTTCTCTAAGATCTATTCTATGTATGCATACAACCACTCCTTTCATGATTGCCTAATAATGACTGATACATAGCAGCTTTATCCCGAAATGTAATTTATCCGAAATTTATGGATACGATGACTTGCATACCAAAGGAACAACGGACTCCCCATTAAAACTCACATTATAATAAACACAGTTATCCATCACTCTGCAAGAAGGACTAGATCTTGCATGTGACAACTGCCATTTGGCTATTAATTGTACTTAATTGAGCTGATCAACATCAGAAATTAAATGCGTTAATCCGTATGAAGACTAACAAGTTCATCGCATGGATTAAAATATGTCGCTAAATGAGGATTGGATCAAATGAAGAAAGGAGGGGTCCTGTCCACAAGGTCCGCTGTATGGTCTGTGTGGTCATATCATAGCATATCGAAATATTCTCTGTTACTACCCGACAGTTCATCACAACAATATCCTCGACTATTAAAATAATTCGTTTTCCTCGGCACTTTCATCAACCTGTTTATGGGTTCAAAAGCTTTTATAAAAACAAAGATGTGTGCAATGTGTGTATGAAGTGTGTTTGCATTATCCAGCAACGAACTGGAATACATCCTTTTTTATTTCAGGTATCAGGATTTCCACTAACATAGGAAGGAAGCGCTATTACAAGTGCGGGTGAGGTCAGACTCTTCAAAATTATTTGACTTTCTAGCTTAAAACATTTCAGAAGGAAACTAGATAGGAGATATTCAAAATTAATCATGGTAAAAAATTTCCTAACCCGAAACTAGACTTCGTTTACAAAACCTTTGCAGGCGAGAACCCCTAGCCAAATGAAAAACATATGCACTTTTTTCTTTCAGAAATGCTACGTATAAAGGATAGCGAGACTCAGATTCATATTTGGATTCAGAAGCAAAAGATATAAGAAAAAAAAAACAGTTGAATAAGAGAACTTCCATGCAAACCACTTCCAAAACTACTTGATTTTCCCAGATGAATAGAAAGACTATCATTTAATTCTTTAATTTATGGTAACATACTCTTAGAGTATAGAATCTATAAAACAACAAACTAGTGTACACCATAATCGAAATAATAATTTTGGGAAAGAAGAGGAAACGAAGCATTTCGAGAAAATTTATAGGGTTTCTATAATTCTGAAGACTGCAAACAGCAACGGCACTAACTGAGTGTGACAGAAAAAGAGAGAAGATACGTGATAAAAAGCTAAACGAGATAAAATTCAAAAGCTACAGTTAGGCATGTAAAAATAAAGTGATTTATTCAAACGAAGCCAGAGAATCAACTGTACCAAAAACCTGAGATCCAATCTTTAATCCAATTCAATTATAATGGATTCATCGACTTTTTCTGAAAATTTCTTCATAAAAGAAATACTATTTAAACCTGTTTTTTCCAATGAAAATAGCGTTCAATCACTGTACTTATATAAGATGAGCGATAAAACCGGAGAAAACATTTTTTTCAAATTTCTAAGAGAAAATACCGTCAAATTTCCAGCATTGCTGTTCATGAGCTTTTGGCAATAGGATTATTACAGCAGCGTCCAAACTATATTTTTGAATCTATTGGCTGGTCAAACTTCGGATGATTTAAGCTCGAAAATGTCAACTTCTTCTCATTAACTTGTGAAAAAGTATTCAGGGCGAATGTTATGATGCTGGAATGTCATTATCCTTATGAAAACAGTGAAGGACGGCAACAAAAATATTAAAATTAACACCAAGTTATGGCAACGGATTCTCGTCAAACCTGATTCATTCAGCCACTCCGGAGGAATGTCTATCGCTGGTCCCTGTGAACTGTCATAAACGATATGCTCTTGAACGTTGTAGGATATATCATGAACTGAAATCCGTTAGCCATTACAATAATGAATTGCTAATGATCCCCATAAGTTAATTTAACTCAGTGTTCTGATTCTATCAAAGTGTAAGTCACTGTAGCAGTCATCGAATAAATAAACAGTTCATGGAGGAAAATTTCCAAAACACAGAAACTGGAAATAACTAATTCATGACCCGCCAATTTCTGTACACATCATACATATATGCCTACTCGACATATATATATATATATCGAGCACGTAAAGATAAACGAAAGGAAAATGAACAAAAATCAAAAAAATCAAAAACCTATTTGTATTTCTGCCACAGTATTTACAACCTCGTAATAGTTTTCAGTGAAACTATCCAAATTTTCTAGTTGTTTTGAAATACTTATTTCATCAATAAATTCATGCAACGGATTATCCTCTTCTGCATTTCCATTATTATTCAATTCCATACAAATACGTATTGTCAGATTTTCCTCATCTCGTGTCAATTCCCTCATTGCCATATTGAAATTGTAATAACCCTCATTATCAACAGCTTCCAGTAAACCTCCAGCATTTGTCTCAATTTTTCCCGCAGCTCTTTGAAGCTTCCCATCTGATTTCGTAGCTGTTTCACTCGACAACCTAGTACCTTCTAAGTTTTTCACTGGCAAATCTGCTCCAAATATCGTTTCGGCAAAAATTATATTTGTATTTTCTTCGTCGATTTCTATTTCAGAATCATCAGCTGCATTTAATTCTTGCTTCTGGCCATGGTTGGTTCTGCGCTGCAGTATTTCAACATCAAAAGCACGATTGTTAGCCAATTCAATTCTGAAAAAATTGCATTTCATCGCAATCAACACTCAGTAATCAATTCTTCAACATAAATGCTAAAGTCTCATTACATACAGAACAAAATATGAATTTTTTTAATCTACATTTTTCAAAGTAAAGAAAAAAATTGTGAACAGAGAGAGTAAAACGCTCAAGAAACCTGCTCTGAATGGTTGATGATGCCAGCGAAGATAATTTGTTTTCATCGACACGCTCATCAGTTCCAGTTCTTATTAATACGTCATTGAAACTCGTCACACTAAGTCCCTCTAGTTCTGCGGTCTGTTTTTGTGACAACTGCACTGACAATCCGATAACTCGAGAAAATGAAAGCTGGGAAAGAAAATCACGTATTTCATTTGGGCTGCTGTGGTCGGAATATTCAACGTAGCACATCCTTTCGTCACTGGAAGTTTAGTTAACAAAATACGTGATTCAGCATACGGCAAATCTCTGAAAATATTTCTAAACTTTCCTGACATCGATTTGGCTGACAGACTTTCCTAGACTTTCTAGACTTTCCCAAAGGGTGCTTTGCTGATACCGATTTGGTTGACAGCTTTAGTAATGATGTTTCTTAATTGACACCATTCCAGAACGCTGCTGGATTTCCTCTTTTCCAGAATTATACATATTGAATATACATATACACAATCATAAAAACATATTTATCCTTACTAAATGATTGAGTTGGGCTTGATATGACGTAGCATGGAAAGATCGATGACATGAAAATCCTCATCGTAAAGAACTGAACGAATATTTCTGAATCGAAGCATTTTAAAACTTGAATAGAGTTTTACATGCAGTTAATTATCACAGCAGTCAATCTCGCATGACTTCATCTTGATTCATGAGTTACATTAATATCAATTACGTAAGTGACAATTTCATTCCTATCACTTCTCATTTCCTGGACGTACAGACTTGGCTTTATTCATTCCTATCACTGCCTAGGAGTTCAATGCTATCAGATGAATTCGTAATAATTTCACTTACCGCCTTGTACATGTCCAAATAAAAGTTCCGTCTTTTTCTGTTGTGAAATATTCACTTAATCCAAGAATTTTGGCTACTTGAAAGCGAATATAATCAACCCATATCTTGCACTGCAAAAAGCATCAATATGCAAATGAACGTTCCTGCTTCTAACGGACATGTTCTAGCATGCTTTCGACAAAATTAGAAAAAGGCAAGATAAATTAGCAGTACATGCAATTAATACACCTACTTTGAATTCAACAGCTACGTCAACAAGTAATTGCTCTCGGCCAACTTTCGGGACCATAATCGTTATCGGCTTAGAACCATCAAATAACTCACGCAAAACGTTACATATTTCAGCTGATGAAACTTCTCGACTAGGAAATTCTTCTCGTGTACAATTAATGTATGTAGTATCCAAATATATTGTGCTAAGACTCCTCTAGATGAATTATTTACATATTAGCAGAATAACCTCTCTTCAGATAAATGATTTTCATAAAGACTAAGTGATATTATTTTAAACAAATTTTATGCCTCTACACTATTCATCATTAAAAAAGGAAACTTGATTGCCACCTTTTTGCTTTATTACTAATTAATATAATATACTTTGCTATTGTACGCACTGCATATGTGAAGGAGTTTCAAATCCAAACTAACCTCTCGTAAAACCGATACCGCAAATATATTTTGATAAAGTCGAATATCCGCTCGAAAATCACCTGTAAAAAGAATTGGACCTTCTGATATTTTATCACCTTCAAAGAGAAACATTACAGAACCAGGAACATGATTTGCATCTAACAGCATCACTGAGAAGCCATCCATATGATGCCAAACATTTAGGTCCAGGGCATGAATTAAGTGGCTCCTAATTCCAGCACGCTTCGATCTCGGACGATGAGTAACGATTGGGAGAATATGAGCGGTCACAGGTGAGCAATATATAGGACCATTATTCCATTTATTCTGTAACAAAAAACGGAGTGCACAGATCCAGGTATACAAAGATTAAGTTTTGGGAATAATCGAAATTTGAAATTTCTACTATAATTTAGCAACTGAAATGAATGAAAGTTGTCAACACATTATCTAGCACCACACGTTTACTGTTAATAAGATTACTACTGCATTTCATTCATTATTGCAGCTATTCATTCACCAGGGCATACTTTAGTGTTAAATTCATAATGATATTAACTAATGAACGGAGGGAGTAAACAGTGATCAGACAGAATTCATGAAATATACAGTTGCATACGAATTGCATTCGGACGAAATGAACAGTATCATTTACGAGTAGAAGTCTGATTTTGTGAAAACAATTCTAACTTATTCTTTGAAATCAGTAAGTCCTTATTCGCTCACCTTTACTAAAAAAAAATCACAGTAACAGTACTCGAAAAGTTAAGAAACAAAGAACGGATTCAATGGAAAGCTTACATCAACAGCGGCGTAGTGATCAGAATGCGCATGCGTTAGGAAATAATACTTGATGGCAGCGTCTTTCGGGAATTTGTCAACCGCGATAAATCCATTGATCAACACGCCTGGCTGTGGCATCTAACACAGTCTGAAAAAAAAGTCTGCGAAAATTTAAATCTAAACCACAACTTTTTCATTATGTTCAGCCCCTAACATTCAAAGAAGTGTTTGGCAAGGTGCACGAATGACACAAAAGATGAAATTCATGTATGACTTCCACCTCCTACTCACTTCTTCATTAAATCAAATAATCCATCCCAAACTTACCATTCCAACTTCTTGACGTAACCTCCTGCAACCTGGCCTCCGCCTGCCTGATTTCCTATCAATCATCAAATTATGCAAATTTTTGTGATTTTGAAATTTTTTGTCATACTTTCAAATACCAAACTGGTTCCTATATGCTTCATAGTTCTCCCCTTTTTTTCAACACTTTTATTGCTCTCTTTTCCTGTTTTTCATTTTTCCATTTCTTCCTATTCCTTTACTCAAAAAAGTGAATTGTCACCATTGGGAGACTTACAAAGCCCTCTGCTTCTCAAATCAACTCCCTTGTTCCTTGTAACAAATGCAACTATCACTAGGTTCTTGTTTCTCTTCTTTCTAACCCTTCTCTCTCTGTATTCATTGTTCCCCGATGTGGAAAAGTATTACGATCACTGACCGAATTCAGATATCACGAGTGCCTGCGTGGAATAGGGTAAGGCTTCTAGGTAATTTGTCTGATATAGTTAGGTGACCCAACACCTGGCAGAAAGTCGGATAGTCTCTGTGAAACTTACAAATTCCCCTCGATGTTGCCCTCCAAGTTATCCAAAAGAAGACCAAGGAAGGCAAATATCCCGGCAAACCTCAGCATTTCCCTTAGTCTTATATGTGAGTGTACGTATGTGTGTATGTGTGTGTGTGTGTGTGTGTGTGTGTGTGTGCGTATGTGTGAAGCATTAGTGTCCTTACATTATGTGTTACTTGTTTCTTTCCTGCTTCAGTAATTAATGTGACAACTAGTTTAATTTATTTGATATGCACCACGTTAACTTAATCTATGCGCCTGAAAATACCCAACATATCTTTGCAACACAAAACCGAAAACATTTGTAATAATTAGAGGAAGTTAAACTGGCGAATGTCTGTATTGTGGCCGATGTAATGATGCTGAATGCCTCTTTGCAAGACGTTTTTCTTCGTTAGAGGAAAATTTCTGTATCATCAAGGTTGCAGGCACACTTTTTCAGGTGCACTGGAATTAAAGTGTAGACCGATGTGGTACGGTGTGTTGCATTTTTTGACCCTTATAGTTACTTTTACCAGTTTTATCTCTATACAAATCACTCAAGCAGTCGACAGAAGTAATTTCAAGAAATGTGAACAGTCGGGTTTTTGCAAGTTAGTTAATCTTTTTTTCTATCTATAAAGTCGATTATTACTCTGAAACTATCCAAACGAATTGTGGACAGCAGAATCATGAGAAAATAGAATATATATAAGTTAATTATTTGTGGACACTCAACAAGCAATGTTGAGTGTGAACTGATAACTTGTTTTCTTAGTTTCGTAATTTTTCAAGAAATGATTGAAATATTAGAAACGAGATATTTCAGGCGGCACAGAACACAAGCCGAGAAAGCGGGTTATGTAGTAGTTGTGGGAAGCGTTACGCGTAATGATTCAGCAGTGGTTGCAGATTTAGAAAGCAGAGTTAATAGATTGAAATTGAGCGTCGTTTCTTTGAGTGATGCAACAATCAGAGTATTAATTGATGAAAAAGAACCATCGGTACGACCACGATTTCAGCCTTTAGACGCCTTAAAGGATGGAAACAATTTAAAAACTGTCGAGTAAGCTTAAGCTTTTGCATTTGCATTGTCTCGTTGTCCTCAGCTGAATTATTAAAACAAAATACAAGGATTTTTAATACTGCCAGCCTTCCCTTTCGGAATAGTTCTACAATAAGAGGGAACTTAAACGCAGAATTTCCATGTTCATTTTAAACAGATTAGTTGTGTTGGAAATTATGGTAAATAGTTTCTACTTCTGAATGTAGCTTTTGTTTAATGTTGGTACTTGTAACTGTTTTGGTATCAGCTTTCTGATTGGTTTTCTATTATAGCTTTAAATCGGTTGAAGTCAACGACAATTCGACCGTTATGATCACAGCAAACAATGCAAAAATATTGTTGAATTATGAACCTTTTCGAATTGATTTATTCATGAAAGATGAATTAGTTATCAGTGTCAACCCTAACAGTGCATTGAAATTTGAGCACTTTAGAAAAAAGGTATATTTTCCGATTACCTTGATGCTGTGTATATTGTCGTGTTTTTATTACTAACTTTTCGGCAGATTTTATCATATTTTTTTGAATTGTCATTGTTATGCTTTCAGTTACTATCACTTGGTAGATTTTATCATTTTTTCTTGAGTTGTCTTCGTAATCTACTAATCAAATACAAGTTGAGTTTAAATCTTTCTGGAAAAAGTTTTTGGGTATATAGTTACTACGTATTTGTTTTCCAGGAAGATGGAAATGAAGCAGAAGCAGCAGATGGCTTCTGGGATGAGAATTTTAAAAATCATCACGATTCTAAACCGTTTGGTAACTTCTATAATACTACTTTATTGGCTGAATCAGATATGTATTCGTAATTTTTTCGTAGACTCTATTCAGTTCTGTTGACTTCGTTTAAAATTTCCAGGATCAAGTTCTGTCGGCGTTGATCTATCTTTCATTGGTTATAAATTTATATATGGTTTACCCGAACACGCAGACAGTTTTGCACTGAGATCTACAACGTGAGAATTTTCAGTATATTTGGATGTTTTGGGAAAATGAATATTCCTTATAAGTTTTAATCAGCTGAAGTAGCATAACTTTAGTAGTAGGTATCATTAAACTATCTGTTATCGATACCAGTTACCAGCATTCTTGGTAACAGATTATGGTTTTTAATTTCTAGTTTTCTTCCAAAAAAAAGTCTTCAGATCTATGGATCCTTATCGATTATATAATTTGGATGTTTTTGAATTCGAAGTTAATGAACTCATGTCTCTATATGGCGCTGTACCATTTTTGTTAGCTCATAACAAGGAGCATTCATTAGGCATGCTTTGGTTGAATGCTGCCGAAACATGGGTAGATGTTAACTCTTCAACCGCTGACAAGGTGTGTTTTATTCTCTTTTTTATTTTTGACTTGGAATATAGTAAAATTGTTGTGATGGGTAAATTACTTCAGAGATGAACGAATATTTCAAACAAATATTTTTGGTTTTTGTGTAACTTTTTCCTATACCCAGTGTATCAAAAATTTCAAAAATTTTCAGTGCAAAAGCTATTCAAACGATTCAAACAGTTTTATTGATTAATTTCAGGGTATCCTGCGTTCATTTGTTGAGAAATTCAGAAACTCCGTAGATTTGCCACAGATTGATGTTCATTTCATGTCGGAATCTGGCCTCATTGATTTTTTCTTAATGTTAGGTCCAAAACCTAATGATATATTTAGGCAAAATTCTGCACTGACTGGAGTTTATCCGTTACCGCCCGTATGTATTCACTACTTTTTAGTTATGTAACAATTTTTAATGTTTTACTTTGTCATATTTTCTTGAAACTATAAAATTTTGATCCAGTTACAGGAAGTAAATATTTTCTAATATTTCTCACTGTTTTTATGTTCCAGCTTTTTGCACTGGCTTATCATCAGTGCAGATGGAATTATAATGATGAGGGTGATGTTCGTGAAGTACATGCGAACTTTGATAAACATGATATACCGGTAGATGCTATTTGGCTTGATATTGAACATACTGATGCAAAACGATACTTCACATGGGATCCTAATAAATTTTCAAAACCGAAAGAAATGATCGATAACTTGGTAGCAAAAGTAAGTTTTTTGAGGAGTTTATTACGAAAATTTTTTGGGTTTTTATTCAGATTCTGAAGTTAAAGACTTTTCTCAATGCATTTCTGTCCCTTTAATTTCATATAACTGTAATCATTCTTGTGTGTCTGCAGGGGCGCAAAATGGTCACAATTATTGATCCCCACGTAAAAAAAGACGATAATTATCACATATACAAAGAAGCGAAAAAACTCGGCTACTTTGTAAAGGTGTGCTATATCCTTTTTTTTACAGATTCCTTATTTTTCAACATTAGAAAAGTTACATTAGTTAGGGGATTGTTTGGATTTAGAATTTTGTTTAATTTTTCCTTATTAGTGACGAAATTCTATTTTTTTGGGTTATTTGCTTGCATCTTCAAATGCATTCATACCATTAACCGTTTTCTTTGTTTCACTGCATCTTTCATATTTCAAAGTTTTTACAAGATTTTATTCTGAGTCTCGGACTTATCTCTTTTGCTTTTCTGTACTGTTGCCACTAATTTAGAAGAGGGATGGTGAAGACTACGAAGGACACTGTTGGCCAGGTACATCGGTATATCTTGATTTTCTAAATCCAGCAGTTCGTAATTTCTGGGCAAAAAAATTCACTTTTGATCAGTATGTTGGTTCAACGCAAGATCTGTTCACATGGAATGATATGAATGAACCGGCAGTGTTCAGTGGTCCAGAAATAACAATGCACAAAGATGCTAGACATTTTGGTGATTGGGAACATCGTGATGTCCACAACATTTATGGTTTTTATTATGTCAGTTACAAATTTTAACAAGCTCTGAAACTTTAATTTTATTTCATTGAAAATTGTCTTCTCTTATATTTATCGGCTTACTCAGCTTCTTTTATGGTGCTTGAAGTATTGCTTTCAATATCTTGAAGTTCATTCTTAATACAGGCTAAAATATGCGTGAGTGCAGCTTTTAATTAATTTTAACGTTTTTTAGCATTTATCGACTTATCTCGGCCATTTGGAACGTACAAATGGTCGCAGACGACCGTTTATATTGACCCGATCATTTTTTGCTGGTAGCCAACGTACAGCAGCTGTATGGACCGGTGATAATACAGCAAGTTGGGAACAGTTAAAAGTAACTGTACCTATGCTACTCTCATTGTCTATTTCTGGCATACCACATGTTGGCGCTGATGTTGGTGGTTTCTTTGGTAATCCAGATGAACAACTTTTAATACGTTGGTACCAGGTAATACTTTGGATTATGAGTGGCTGTGAAATTGATTACATTGGATTTGGGAGAATGAATTTCTGGTTGAAATCGCACCTTTACACTCAAATTGATTTATGTAATTTTTAAAATTATTGTGACGAAAAACCGTTTAAAAATTTTCTTTTCAGGTCGCTGCTTTCCAGCCATTTTTTAGATCTCATTCCCATATTGACACGAAGCGCAGAGAGCCATGGTTATTCTCAAGTAGCACGAAATTAGCAATTCGTCAAGCGATTCGAACTCGTTATTCTTTCTTGCCTTACTGGTAAGTTTTTGGGTTATGCTTTTCTTTTTTGTAAAAGCTTTGGAGAATGATTGTATCTCTTCGGATTATCTAAGTTTCTGAAGACTAAAACTTTTAGAGCCCTGGTTAGAATAGGACTTTTTAATAATTTTTATTGAATTATTTTTTCTGGATTTTTCGACAAGTGTTATTTTACTGCACTGCACGAATGCTACTGATAATGCTTTTAAATCATGGCATGTGTCTCTTCATTTGAAATTATTATTACGTTGTCCTATTTGATTATTTTTTACTGGCAAATCTGTTTTACGTCTCTGTTTTTTTCCATGCATATTCCACTGTTTTAACACTTAGGTACACTTTGTTTTACGAACATACCCTTACCGGAAAACCACCAATGAGGCCATTATGGGCAGAATTTCCGGACGATGAAGGTGCATTTGATGAAGAACGTGAGTGGTTATTAGGTTCCAGCTTACTTGTGCGTCCAGTGATGGACCCAGATGTGCAGTCCATCTCATTATATTTGCCGGGTAAAAGAAACGTAATATGGTACGAATGGAATGATCACAAGGTCTGATACTTCTTTTTGCCACCTTTATTATTGATTATTGGTCATGTAAAGCATAACAAGAAACGAAGACGCATAATTATCCATAATCAAATATATGGTGATAATGTGAGCAAGAAAGAAAATTGTTATAAAGAATAAAAATTGTTTCAAACTTCCTTTAGGAAAATACGTATTGACGTTATGTGTGAAGGCGTTTTTCTTTAGGGTCGTTTAGCTCCTGGTGCTGTTTACATGAGTACGCCAATCGATGTAATACCGTTATTCCAACGAGGTGGTACTATCATTCCGACATGGGAAAGAGTACGGCGGGCTTCATCATTGATGTTTCAGGATCCCATTACTTTGTACATCGCAATAAGCTCTCATGTAAATTTTTTTACTAAATCTGTGACAGATTTTATTAAATCTGTGTGATATGTTGCACAAGCAAATTATATTGTTGCAGTATTCTCTGCTATAGAACCCGACTCTATCTTTCTGAAAGATTCTTAGCAGTAATAAGTTGTAAATATAGTCTTTGTCTTTTGAAACAAAAGTCGCAGTAAAGTGCTCGCAGAAATTTAGAAGAAACCATTCATTGGGATATAAATTCACCGTACATAGTATCTCTTAGTTATCTTATATTTTCTCACGTTTTATGTCTTGATTGCATCCAGAAATCTTTGTAGGATGATTATGCAAATGGGACAATTTATATGGATGATGGAGAGACATTTGATTACAAAAATGGTCAGTATTTCTATTGGGGTTTTATCTACAAGAAAGAAGGCGATCAGTTGCATTCAATTTCGTCAAAGAATTTGGATAAAGGAGGAAAATTAGAAAGTGATGCTGTTATAGAGAAGATTATAATACGAGGCGTTCGATACTACCCGACAAATATTCATATTTATTTAGATGGTAACCGTTTTAATATGCATAATTTCCAGATATTTCCCTCGCTTCCAAATAGTTAAGTTTCACATGTGACTACCAGTATTTCGGGAATTAATATTAGTCAATTGAAGCATGATTCATTTTCATTGCAACTTTCTTGCTTCTTACACTTCCGTATTTTTTAGATTGGAATCCAGAAACTGCTGATTATACGCATGATCGCGATGCTCAAACTCTGATTATTCGAAAACCGAATGCTCTATTAACACAGGAATTCAGAATTGATATTCATATGTAATTGCTGAACGATCTTTACGATCATTTCATTTCTGCTTCATGGACTGAAATGTAATAGGACTCTTTTGCATGAAATTCGTCACTCTCGGTCTCAAATTATCAATTCCATTATACTAATTTTGGCGGATTGTAGTTGCTATATGTTATGATGTTTGTAGAGTTTGTGGTACGATTTCTCTTCAAATACATTTGTTAAATTGATGCTCCAGTTTATATTAATGCTCCGATTGTTAACTTTTTAACTTATTTCTTATTAGCCCTCTCTAAATCCCAAAAATTTTAGGACTTCAAATTTCTGGTAAAAGAATATTTCAGAGAGTATACTCACCCTAATCCCGGGTGACGATTACTGCCGAGTACTTTATCTGCTGTCAGCATATTACCAAAGGCGATAAACATGCTATTAGTTTCATAATTGTTTACGCATTTTGGATTTGCAGTGTAAAATACCTTGACAGGATACGTTTGTTGTTGGTGCTCTAGTGATTGTGTTGTTTTTGGCAAAATTTATTAATTTTGTTTATTTTCTCTTCTCTACTCGGGACGTACGTAAAAATAAACATAAACTTCTTTAGGAAATTAGGGATAGTTTAAATCCTGAACATGGCAGAAATTTCGTGCATTGATTGTATCAAATGTTGTCTAAGTCGGTGTGAATCCTGCAATAAACATAAAAACTGAAGAAATATTGCGATGGACCAATTAACTTTTGTGCTAAAGTAGTTCAGCATTACTTCTTTATATGTAAGATTATATTTGATGGCATAACAATGAAATTCTTCGAGGATCATGGTTTCTGTTCCATATCGTATAGAGATCGGGATTACTCCAAAGGGAGTTTTGATTTTAGCACACTTTCTTTTGAGACAATACTCTCAAGATCGTCATATCTACTTCACCTACACTTTTTCAAGGCTGCAGGACAACATGCGTTTGCACAATCGGTGTATTGAAAACCAGTGGACAAAAGTGAAACCGAAGAATTAAAGCACTGGAAATGGATTTAGTTCACAGAGGAAGGGCATTTGGAAGGATTCAGAAGTTACAGCAATAGCGAGGACAACTTGGTTAAAAAGAGGAAATAAACGAACCGTATTTTCGGCAGACTTATAGGAGGCAATATTCATACATATTGAATGATTGCCAGCAAAACGATAACTGATACCATATCCAGTTTTACAAACAGCCTGGAAACCAGCGCCAAACCATGAAAGGTTTGGATGTTCGTCTTCATTTATTTGACGTGTCATATTCGGTGTCTGTAGTGATATTTTAGTTGCAGAGATGAAGAGAGTTTTGATTTCGAAACATTTCAATGTTAATTTCGCATTTCCAGATTGGAAGACAATTTTCAGCGTATGATTTGCTTGTTTACTTTTTAGTTTCAATGATCAGGTGAAAAAATGCGTCACTTTTCTGATTTTGAGGGGTGTTAATTATATTTTACCTGGCTTGTACTAAGTTCCCAAGGTTGAGCTATGTAGTAATTCAACAATGGACTGTTTATGCCAGTCATTTTGCTCAAAATATGAAGAACAAATAAATGTCGGTCAACACCACTTCCAGTTAAACATTCCTTGCTATTAATTACGTGAACTCCAGCCGCTTCCTTCAATAATTTAACGCGTTCTTCGTTCTGAAATCTTATTGCAAATGTGTTTTATATATCTTTAGATATATGAATTTTAAAAGAAGTTCAAATTGAGTTGGAACCTTACGCTGCTCTCTGTGCTGACCATTGACTTAACAAATGCGCATGATTCTTTTGTTACGGAACGTAATGTTTCTGTCCTTGATTTTGCATAAAATCTTGCTGATGTCGATTCGTAGGTCAGAGAAAATTTGCCTTGATCCTAGAAGAATCTCTCGAGGTCTTCAAAAAAGACCTATTTTTCATAATTGTTGGACTTTAAAAGATTAAATTCTTAGCATAAAATATTTATCTATAATCAGCCAGTCTTCCTCCTATTGGTGGTAATTAGTAAGAAAGTCAACTTTAAAGCTCGCTAATTGTATAGCCATTTGAACAAATGCATCAGGTGAAATGCGAGATTCCTTGATAAAGCCTTTGCCAAAGTCACGGAAGACAAGGCAGGCTACATCGACATCATTGATTTGTTCCTGATAACTGGCATAACAACGGATAATCTCTGCCTTCATCTAAATTATACTTTAGTCTTCAAAAAAAAAGCTGGAAAAAAAGATATATTCTTTCTTCCTTTGGCCGGACCAGTATGGAAACAGTAAACGATCAGTTTAAAAAATGACTAATGTCTTAATAGGAAACCAGGAATTTCGACTAATCTACGGGGAATTCAGTACTTGAACTTCTGGTATTTTTCGTTGCATTGTATCTCTTTAAAATTTTTTTTTTTTATTTCACATCTTTCCCAATGAAGAATTGAAGATGCCACGAAGCTATCAATGATATTTTCACAGGCCATAATAAAAACGCCGAAAGTAAGTTCCTATTTCCAAAGTTGCTGAAAACTTTCACCTGCTCGTTAATATCAAAATTTAGTCGAACAGCATAATTTTTCGTTGCAGGAAAATTGTTGAGACGCACCACCTCTTTCACTTCTTTTGGATATCTGTAAACTTAATGAATAAGTAAGTCAGGTAGTAAATGGACTTTTGTCAACGTGGAACAAAGAATGAAGGAATGAAATTGTTTATGTAAAAAAAAAGAAAAAACTTAATGATGAATGATGTGGAGATCTGAGGAAAGATAATTTTCGAAAATGTAAGCAAATTCTGCTCCATCGGCAACTGAATGTTCTGTTGTTCCGCCACACTAAAAACTAACTGTGAATTGAAGAGGTCAGGTCATTCTTTGACAAAGCTTATTGTCATTCCTTCTAAGCAATGCAATTTTCAAAGAGCGTATTAGACACAAATGAACATAGAGGCTCCATTTGTGTGTCTTTATATTCATAGCAGGACGCAATAATAAAGATAACTAACCCTTCCATTACTGGAAATGACATAATTTAATGATTTGTCCGCCCAACGATTGCTTCCATCACCAGTTAGCATATTTTTCAAGAAAATTTCAAGCGCTTCCTAGAGTGAATAAATCTGTAGAGAAATGCATGATGCGTGCATGCATGTCAAAAAGAATAAGTACCACAATGAATATGCATGTAGTTTGAGTAAAATTCCTACTGGGTCGCTGCTGTATTTAGCGTCATCAAGAATCAGAGAAAAAATAGCCGATTCTATTACGGCTAAAGAAGCACGATTTATAGCATTTTCCAGAAAAAATCGACGGCGGTTCAAACACCACTGGTTTCGAGAGTCGGTCGTTAATGCCGCTATTCGTCCTTCTACTTTTCCAGCGCTTTCATCGCGAGTCAGCAATTCCGAAAATATCCTTAAATGAAGTACAGAAACATGCCTTAAACATCATTACATTCATCAATTAAAAAAGAAAGAGTGAAAACACTACAAGAAACTAATTAGAAGAAAGGGAATAGTTTCTAAATTAGATTGGTGTCTTGAATGACTTAGCATTCGTATAGACTTTACACGTAATTTGGCTTACTCAGTAAGTTCTTCCAAACCGAACATACGACCATTTTCATCAAAAACATTCAATTTATAAATACAACCTCGATGATAAACAATTATATGGCGTGTGGTTCCACAATACACTTCCAAATGATCTGAAATAAGCGGCGGATATTTGCTCATACTTTGCTCATAGGTCCTATCCGAAGAGAAAATTTAGATATAATCATTCGAGTGTTTCAGAAGTGAAATTCATTTTTATAGATCACAATGTTCCATTTTACCAATTTTTATGTTATAATCGTTTGTGTTGAAACGTTTGGATAATTTTGATTGGAAATGATTTTCTTTGTCACTCATCAATACATATATATGCTGGTCAGAGGTCAAAAAGTGAAATTTTTACAGTTTACGTGTTTACGGATAATAAGCATAAAGTAATACCTATAATCTCTCCCGGTACTCGTGTTGTTCCGTAGCACTTCCACAGGTGTGATAAACTAATAACTCCACCAGCTACCTGCAAAATAAGTAAATAGAGAGGATTGCACTTAGAACCATATTTTGTTCAATCGACAGAAACCGATTTCGTTAAGCCATAGAAGGTTCTTGCATATTGTTTGGTTCTATCATTAAGTTCTTATTTTCATCCCGTCCCTCAATCACCAACACAGACTGATGACAGAGTTTAGATCAAATCCGATGGTCAAAAAGCACAAGGCATTAGCAGTGTGTGACAACTTTCTTAATAGTAACATGTCATTGATGTCAAAGTTGTCTGGTGAGATTGGCTATAACTCCAGATCAGCTCCCAGCAATATTTAAGATGATTTTAAATTTTTATTATCGATTTTCCTAGGAATAATATTTATATACGACCCATTCGTTGACTAAGGTGATTTTAGAATTTTAGTTTTAGTGTCACATTAAAATATTTTAATGAAAAAGAATGAAGTAGTTTTCTTTGGATAGCTTTCTTTCCTTTCCCTCTCTCCCTCCTCTCTCTTTCCCTCTCTCTCCCTCCTCCCTCTCTCTCTCACTCCTCCTTCTTCTTTAGAATCTTTTTTTAATTGAAAAAAAGTGTTTTTTTCTGTCCTTTTTTTAATTGTTTTTAAGAAATAATTTCTCAAAATTGTTGCATTAAAATAAATGACAATATCTAACAGGTGGTAGAGATTCCCGATCAACCGATAGCATGCTTAGAGTTTCCAACAATACAATATGAGCTGCTCGAACGGCTTGATTGGCTGGCACACCTTCGAAAATATCCTTAAATAATTTACCTTCGTGACAATTTCAAGCTAAACATTCAAATATTTGTAATGATAAGTGATAAGCTGTCGGTCGAATTGTATGAACTATGCTTCGACTCTCTAATTTATGCCACCAATAAAACTTTTGTCGCATGATTAAAATATTAAACTGAGCTTTTCTTTCACTGTTGCTGAAAAATTTTGCATGCATTTTATATAATCTGAAGGGAAAACGCTTTCCTTCTCTTTTTCGGGAGATGATTAGCAGAAGAACACTAACTAAATGTGCAACACTGCTATTTATCAGAATGCCTTTCCTCGAATAGTGATAAGCGAATTTCTCCCAGAAGTCAGTGACCTATAAAATTAATCATTTTCGGAATTCTCTAATTGAAAGGAATCGATTTCACGTTAACATCTTCATGAAGTCGTAATGTTGTCTGACTTTTCAAATGATTTTTGTCTAGCCTTATCTCGATCATTAAGAGCATATTATTTATCTTTATCTTGGTAATTAATTCGTTTTATTCTGCTTCTTAATTCTAGCTGTTTGATGCAATTATTTAGTCTTATACAATATGCAGTTAGCTTACATAATTATCAACAAAACACCAGTAGAGCCAAGCTAATCCTTGAAGTTTCCATCCTTCATTTTTTAAAAAATTCTCAGCCATCTTTTTTACATCCGTAAATTCTTCCTGTAAAAGAATTAATGACTCATGATTTTGAGTTCATATACTGTTAAACAAATAATTTTGAACAATGGAACAATTTTAAAAAAATATGACTCTTTCAATTTTTAAAACTTTTAATTTAAATAAAAGCTTGCTCGTTTTAAACTTTCTTGGAAAAAATATCCTTCCAAAAAAAAAAAACGAGAAACGAAAAATCGCAACATCTACATGTGCTTAATGTAATTTTCCTGAATAGGTTCGGTACTTTTTACAAAGAAACAAAACTTTGCTGTCACCAGTTAACCTGTAATAATACATATCAGTTTCATATTGCTAATTTCGATGTAAATTTCCGCGTTGTATTGATTTTTCTCTCGAAAAGAGAAAATTTTATTAGGCATTCTGCAAGGTATGACAGCATGAATAAAAAGAAAATGAGAACTTCTTCCTCGGCAGACTCTTCGTGCTTAACTTTTTAAACTTAGCAGAACGTAAAACCGCTGCTTTTAAACTCATTTTTAATTTCAAAATCATTTAAAATACTTAAAACTGTCTGATAGGAAATTTCAAAATGAGGAGAGAATGAGTGAAGTAGAAATTCATTGTAAGACATTTCAATCTGATGGTCACAATCATTAAACTCATCAATAAAATTAGTCGTGAGCCACAATGATCTTATTGAATCCTAAAGTCTTCTATAACAAAGTGCATATCAAAATTGTTTCTCAAAGATGATTAAAAAGTAAAGAAATACTTAACCAATCAAAGAAATACTCACAAGGCTCAGCAGAGGTTCTACACTGTTGAGGTATCTGGCGACCGTACCTTTAAGCGATGGAAGTGGTAAAGTTGGCAATAACCCTTCACACGAATACAACTGTGGTGATAATTTATTGAATAAGCGATGAAATATCTGGAAAGTTACTTACTGGTAAAAAAATACCCGAAGTTTAACCAGTTGGAAATGAAATGAAATAGTTCGATGGTTGGCATATTGGCATCTTTAACTTCAAACTAAATGCCCACATCAATCCTACCCGGTAATTATAAAACTTTGTGCCCTATGATTTCAAAATGAATCAATTATTTATGAAAAATTCATGTTAAACAGAAATATAAATTTTAGGAAACTTACAAACCACACTTTTGTCGAAAATGAATAGTTCCCTTCTTTCTCGAACAAATATCTTTTGTAACCAAAATATAAATGTCTTATTGTAAATCTGAACAGCAATATCGGGAAATACGTGCTTATGAAAGCAATCTGCAAATTTGAAAGTTTTCAAATTATGGAAATGATCCTTCAGAACAATAGCTGTCAATTTAATTTGAAAGTTTTAATTCAGTAATACAAAAATCAAGGAATTCAAATCTAAAAAGTTCAAATCAAAGTCTAATTTTTACTAACCAACAAAACATTGGAAATAACTGCAATCTGTTCACGAACTGCTCCGGGCAAAATGATTGAAAATTTTCGTTTCGGTGGGTTTCTGTATAAAAGTGAAGCAATCACCATAAATATCATTGAAAACAAAAATGGAGAGATGGGATAGAGACGATTGTGAAGAAAATTCTGAAAATATCTATTTGCAGTAATTAAAAATATTTGCAATCATATGATTCTATAGATTAGAAATCTCTATATTTTTGGATGTTTTTGAAGTCGAAGTCTGTAAAATTGAGTTTGAAGGACTCAGTAATATTGGAGTGTTGAATTTTTGGCACTTTGTAAAAACAAGTGACAAACAAGTGACATTTTGTAAAACAAGTGACATTTTTCATTCTGTTGCATTTATAATTTAAAAAGAAAAATTACTTTGAATCGATAGCAAATGCGTTTAAATCGACTTGGAAAATATACTTCAGTACGATAGGAAGGTTTTGGGTTATGTAAAATAGTATTAACCATTGCTTAAGCACGTTGAAAAGAAATGAAATGTTCAAGCTGCTGTCGAAGTTACTTAAAATTTTACACGAGATTAATGAGATTGTTTGCGATTATAATTATGTATTTTTGTCGCAAAAAAGAATTGAGCTGCTTTTGTCACAGGCTGCAAGGAATACAATTATCCATGCGTTACATTATTCATTTGCTGAGATGTTATGGCCTCGTAGGAATTCCGAAAGTTAACATGAACAGTCTATCAAATTTCCTCCCGAACAACAACGTCGATCAGTTCTCGAGGAATCTATCATTGATCTTGTTAATTTTCAATTTGCTCCAAATATCGGATGATCATACTATGACTTCAAGTTCTTCGGGAACTTTTTTTGCTGTTGTGAGAGGACCAACTTTGCTCGTTACTTTCAGTTGACCATTGTCAAATTCTGGTGTCTTCTTTAATCTTTAAGGCTCTTCTCTCCTTCCTGACGAAATGCATTGTCGACTTTATAAGTTATCTTCGTTGCTATATGACCCATTTTGATTTATTTGGACGACTTTGTCATCTGTTTATTATCTATTCTTGGCAGTTAATACGTTATTAGCAAAAAACATAAAGGAAGAAATGAGCAATAAAATGGTATACAACGACATTTATTTGAAACAAAATTTAAGTATGCAAAAAATACAATTATTCCGGCTAAGCTAATTATTTGCATCCCTTGGTGAGTTAATGTGCGCTCATTACCTATCAATTCTTTATTTGATAATTAATTAGAGAAGTAACATTACAGTGACATGGCATTAAATATATAAATATAATATGTCTACATTCAAAAGAGATTTTGGATTATCAGATGATGTTACGCACTGCACAAATGCAATAGTGTTGGTTCAGAAAAGACTAATATGCGAGTGTCCCAATTTGAACGATTGACCCTTTTCGGGAGTAAACATCACTTAAAAGGGGTCATTCAACCGGAATGATCAAAACACATTTTAAAAATCGATAGAAAAATCTCTATAATAGGAATTGTAATGTAATTGCGATTTGAATTGTTTTCTTTTGCGAAAAAGTTACAACGAACTCAATTTTACTGTCTGTTTTCTAATTTTTCAACTAATTAAATGCATGTTAATCTTAATAACACACAGTTATCCCAGGTATCACAACTAAGAATCATCATTTCGAGAAGTAGAACGTTGTTGTTTCAGTTTAATTGTGGAGATCTTTATTTCATAGCTGTAGAATCGGCAAATTTGTGCCATTCCGATTTCTAAGCTTCTGGAAACGACCTACAGTACTGTAACGATCTACAGTTTTCCCAGTACTGTGAAACTCAGAATGTAACGTTTGGTTTATTTTAACATTTTAAATTAGTTAAGGTGTCGCAAGTTTGCTTATTAATTGATGAAAATATTTAGCATAAAATCCGTCATCTCCTGACCGAATCTCTGTCCAAAAGTTGCTTTAATTACCACGACTGTCAAGCAATCTGAAGGCCGCCATCGAACTGCCAATTATATCACTATAATTTAGAAGTAAGTAGGCTTGCGATTATTCAAGATTATTGACTAGTGAGAAGAAAGTGTAGCTAAAGTCGAATGGAATTAGAAAAGGGAAAGCTTCATGATCAGTTCGGCTTGAAAGCCTAAAAAGTTCCACGCGCTGTATTGGCCAGGAACTTTCGAATGTCCCCTAGAACAGAAACGTACAGAGGACCATCTCTCTACGTTTAAGCTTAATTCAGAAATCAATCTAATGCATGCATGCCAACCACACCCCATATTGGACCAACCAGGGTCTGTGTGTGTCAGGTCCACTGTATTGGTGGATCAATCAATCATCACTGGCGTTGCAGATGTCCCTATCTGTTTCATCATTCACACACATCGCAGACTCGAACTTTCATGGCAGGTTTTAACATTGCGGGACCAACCACTTTGTCATGGGGAAGTTCCATGGTTAAGATACATTTCTGCATATGATGTGGGAGGGAAAGAATTTACCAAAGTCAGGAAAAGTGGGATAGACGTAAGGAGAAGAATGCTTTAAGCTTAATGAAGCTTAGTGCATAAAAATTGCGAGAGAAAAATTAGGATTATTAGAAATCTTATGAAAATGAGGAAACAGAGCAAACATGACGAGAAGCCAATCCTCATTTCTTCCATTCCACTCTTGCCACTTTTCAAAGTAAGTTCTTTATTTACAGTTTACCCTTAGCAAATTTATTTTTGAAAGTTCGAAGCGATTGGCATAGAGAGAACGATGCCGCTCTTCATGAAGGAGAACTGGTTTTCTTAGAAACTTTTAGGTATTCGTAGGAACATGACCATTGCGCCGAAAAAAGAATTGCATGCATTTCAATTCATTTCAGTTCAAAATGGTGCGACAAGAATTGAGTAGTCCTTAGATGAAATCTCAAATTTCTTTGATTAAAACTGACCACTGATAAAAGTTTCTGAATTGTTCCTAATTTCTGTTAGGGAATGAATACAGAATTAAATAACTTTCAAAAATTATTTGTCGCATTAATCGTATGATTCAAACAAACAAACCATTAAAATTATAAAAGCAAAATAAAAATTTCAAACAGTCGTACCTATGGACTACTTCAAACACCGTTTTCACAGAGAAAGGGTGATCGAAATAAATCCACTGCATTCCTTTAATGCCAGAAGTGCCACAGTGAGAGATTTCCTTATCACTTTTTGATGAAAGGTTATAATATCAGTAGCCGAGTATCAGACTTAGATGGTTAAGCTTTCAATGAAAGTGTTAAAGCGCATTTAATAAAAATTTATCGCGACAGTTTATAGTGCAAACGTTCAATTCAGAAAAACTCTTCCAGAAGATCAAATTCGGGCAGGAATTTCAAGCGGATCATGGCGAGATGTTCTTTTTCGTAACGTAAAATGCATAGCAGATAAGCCAAGTATCAGGTTCAGGTGGTTAAGCTATTGGTTAAACATTCGATGGAGTTGATATATACTTGTATAATTTTAAGATTGATCGAGGTCGTTTCGATATCAAAAGGTCAAATATATTCCAAGTGGACAATGAGTAGAAATGTTATCACTTTTAAAGTGCAATTATAAGCTGGTAATAGTAAATTTTTAAAGGAATAAATCTTGAAAAAAATCATCTGTCGATGATTGCATTAGCAAAAATATTTAAAAGAAATAATTGTATAAAAATGGCCATCAGTCGTAGTCTGTGATAACGCTACCTTCATTAAAGTAATAACCGTTATCGTCACTGTATAAACAATATTAAACTCTTGAATATTATCAGTATGACGTTGTTATCACACTCTTACTTTTTGCAGTATTTGGATCAGATTGCAATCTAGCATTTCCTAAATCTTCACCTTAGTAGTTTGGAAATTGTGAACTTCTGATTGCTGACAGTGTTGATCTCGTTGTCATTTAGTAATGGCTAATATTGGATCGCAATCGCGATGACATTCTTTTTCACTCCTGTACATTGTCAACATATCATTTTTTGTCATCTCTATCATTATTGTTATTATTATTATCGTAAAACTTCTGCTAAAGGCTGTTGTAAAGTAGAATATGTTCAAGTTTAAGGGATATGTATATGCATGTATAACTGTTTGCTGGCTTTGTAAAATAAACACAATCTTTGATGACAACGTTCTTGTCATCTTTCACTCAACAATGTTAACAGTAACCTCTTATTGAGAGATGAAGTTGAAACCACTACTTATGCTTTCCTCTGTCTGATTATTTGACGATATCCTCCGTCAGCTTTTACTTTCATTTCAATTTTAAAGCATTATAACTTTTTAGCAATTTGACAGACTATGGCATGAAGTGACTATTACTACCTATTTCCTGCCGCTTATTTATCTTACCTCAAAAAAAAGTTACGGAAATAAGCTTAATAGTATAATGGGCAGAAGAGTGGAAACGGATTACGCAATTCTTTAAATTGTGAAGAAATGTCGGACCCAACGAAGTAAATAGTTATGAAAAAGTGATGTTTGTTGATTCAGATCGAAATAATTCCCGAAATGATTACTGGATATGATTATAGTTATTCCAATGATTACAGATTAATTCCAGTGATTAATTTGAAAGCACTGTGTAACCGAGCATGAACAATCCTTTAATTTGTTGGGTTGTTTCAATTTTTATACCACAACTAATTACAATTAATCTATAATTATTCAATGACCATATTATGAGGTATATGTAATCATAATCTAAGATTTCCTAATTTAAAACAATCCCTTGTTGCTTTATCGTTTCCAGTATCTGATCAGTAAATTATTCCAAACTATAGAAAATTCCTTTTTTTGGTAGCGAATAACACTTGTGATAATGAATTATGTTACAACTTGTTATATAAGTTGGAAGGCAGGAAACCTTGCCCTACCGGAAAAATATCTTAAACAATTTCAATAAGTTTTGATTTTCCACAAACTATTATTTAAAATAATCACATTATTTCGAACAATTAGTAAATGGATAAGTATAAGTATGACAGTTATGCTATTCAAAATTCAATCCGAAAAGTTCAGAAAATAGTGAGCGATGATCTTTTAGATGCTTTATAAACGATATTATTCAGCCTTAAATTAGTCCTTCTAACCTTTGTCTAACTTTGCTATCTTTTACACTTTTCTGGTACTTTTCAATGCTTGCAATGTCTATGTTAGTTTTACGAATATTCAAAGAAATGATTGTCATATTTTTTGATAATAATTTCAGGCATCGTTTTCTTGACCTATTTGGACAAACTTTCCTGGTGATACATTGATAGATATGAGGGAGAAAGTACATTATATTAGTTGAAAATAATTATTCGAATTTTTATTCGGTATCAAAGACTTAGATTATTTTGAAGTAGAGACTTTGAAATAACACAACGTAAACAACAGAGTGAAATTGAAATTTCAAAGAGAAGTGAAAAGAACATAAGTATGAAAAAGAATCATAAAAGTAATGAGAAGTAAAATAAGATTAAAACATAGATGCAAATGAATGTGTAATTTAGGGGGAGTGAATTTAATAGAATTTGAAATCCAAAAAAAAACCCAATTATCTTATTAACCTAATATTTCCACTAGCATGATTAAAGTTTTATTATAGCAATCAGTTCCAAAGAAAAAATTAGTAAAGCTTCAGCAGGTAAAAATATCTGATTCATCGCCTTACCAAACGCATTAATTAATAAAATTTTAAAATAACTGTGAGATAATTTAACAGAAGTTTTATGCAATTTATACCGACCAGAACTATCAAAAGCGCGGATTGTAGCCATGTTACGTGCACAATCCTCTACTTATCACTCATTTTCTAACTTATTTTTATTATTAATTATCATGAATAGTTACAGTAAAATCCGATCTTACTTAACATTCTATAGAGAATTAATTAATCTACAATTAAGTTATCCAATGGTGCTTCTATAGGAATGTGTATATTTTACTACTATTAAAAATGATAAATTATAGAATCTTCCAAACCAGAATTCATGGCGATAATTCGTGCTTAACGTAAACATAATTTTCATAGAATACGAAAATTAGTTCCACTAGCACAATTGTTAGTTATCTTTATTATGTTTAGTCTCATTGCAGACTGTTCAAAAGATTTAAACTACATTTTACTACAATGTCGGAATATGAGACCGATCCTGGTTGGCAATATTTACGTCAGCAACAACAACAGGTAAATTATTCTGAAATTCAAATGTTTTTGCTAAGCTGACGAAAGATTGAATATAAGAATAAATGATATTGACGTAGGATAACACTTTAGCAATATATCTCTCAAATTTTGGCTGTATTTTTCAACTTTGTTTCTGTACTTTTCATGTTAAAAATAGCTTTTTTTGTCAGTTTAATTAGTAGTGAAATAATTTTAAATATTAATTTACTAACTGCTATAATTACTGTAAAATGTTGGTTGACTGGATGTGGACTATTCTTCGCTGTGTTCATTAAAACAAAACTAAAATATATGTATATCACTGCTAGCATTAACTAAGTGTAATTTCAGATTGTTGTGGCAACACCAAAAAAATTTGATTCTAAAAAGAATGTTTGGGTGCCCGACGGAGAAGAATGTTTCATCGCTGCTGAGATTGAATCAACAAAGGGCGATTTTGTTACTCTTATCACTTCTAAAGGAGTTAAGGTTTGGAATTCTTAAATTTAGAAATATTCAAAACTGAAGAAAGCAAATGAAATATTGTTTTCTGAAACACTGGACTAGAACGGCTTATTTTAATAATTATACTTATGCAAGCGAATTCTTTCATTTTTGAAACTTAAGCTTTTTTATACATATCGAGCACCCAATAGTGGGCATACCAAGAAGTTTGTTCTGAATACTTTTTTTTTTCACTACGAAAGAGATAAAAGATAAGAAAGTAAGAAAGAGATCAGATTTAATTTTCCAGGTAAGAATCTGGCTGCTTAACTTCAGTGCTTTTTGCACACATCCAACAATTCGTCAAATTTTGATTTGTATTTGTGAATTTCTTTTTTCATTGAAGAAAAATATTATTATGACACTGCATTTTTTTAAATGCAAATTTTAGAAGACTTTGAAAAAAGACGAAATGCAAAAAATGAATCCACCAAAGTATGAGAAAACGGAAGATATGGCAAATTTGACATTCCTGAACGATGCGTCTGTACTTCATAATTTACGTGAACGATATCTCTCTATGATGATATATGTAAGTTAGCTTTGCGAAATATTATCATTATCATTCACTTGGCAAAATATTACAAAGTTCACAACGCATTAATAATAACTCTTTCAAATCTATGGCAGCATGCAAAATGCATACGAAGTTGAAATTCAATGTTGTGCCTCAAGCGTGCAAATACATGCAGTCAGGCTTTGGTAGTTCTCAAAGCGTATTTCAGTTAATTTTCAAAGCATCTAAATTTTATGCGCAAATATACCAAAGAATAGAAATATTCAGTTTGAAATAATCCGACTGTTGAACTTTCAACGCTAAACGAATAATCGGTTGGATAAAATAAAAGCGTATTCATAAGTTTTCTCAGATATAGCTTTGTTTTTTTGCGCCATTAGCAAAAAGTGCACAGCGATGTAAGTCTTATAAGTAGGCTGTTATGTGAATTTAAACATCTGTTGCTCTCAGTTAAAGATTAAATGTCTTCTTCATGTAACAATTATTTGCACATTTTTCATATCTGATTAATGTTGTTGAAAATTAAAAGTTTGAAAATTTTCACTGTGCCTATTAATCAGTGGGCTTAATTTCATTTACTGTCATTGAAGTTTAAAGCCAATTGAATAATGTTGAAAAGAATTTTGCAATCCGTTTTGTTTGAATATGAGCCAACATTTCTCCCTTAACTTCACTTCTTACTAATGTAAACTGAAAAGAGAGAAAAAGTTTCTTTCGCTCTCTTCAACTCCTTTGATCTTTACTTTTCTACAGCACATGTTGATTTTGGTTAAAGTAAAAATTAAATAAGAAGCCAAGTATCCCAGCCATGTTGATCGTTTAGTAAAAGGACAGAATCGGAAGGGATAAAAGGAATTGATCATAGAATACACAGAAAGTAAAAAGAAGCTAATTACAAAATGAAATCAAATATATTTGTGAAATAAAATTTGAATGTCTTATAAGCGTTCTTTTCTTGCTTATACGAAGCAATCAATGCAACTGAGATTTATTTGTTTAATTAGATGTTTCTTCTCATACTATTGCCAGTGTTTTTTTCGGTTGTTTAAATTATCAAATATTTGCAAATCAACTTCAACTTTGAAGCTTTTCGTAAAACTTATACATGAAGGAAGGGAGGAAGAGAGAGAGAGAGAGAGGAAGAGAGCGAGGAAGAGAAAAAAAAGAGAGAAATTCTCAAACACATCATCATCCGAACTTAACAAAACTGTTTGCTAATAATTCATCCCAGTACATTTTGATGTTTAAGTAAATTCTGTTTTCTGTTCAAAGATCGGCAATGCAAATGTAGCAAAGCAATCGCAAAGAGAAATGAAAACTTAAGATTTTAGAAAAATTTAGAAAAAATTGTTAAATTGTTCATTCAATCTGACGAACAATTAAACACAGAACTAAGCGCTTATATACTTAACATAACCTAAGTTTTCAATTTGATTGCAAAATAGTAAATGTTGGCCTATAAAAAAGAAAAAAAAGGGATAATCTTAAAAAGTACCGCTGGTAGGTATTACATTAAAGAAGTAAAATAATTTAATTAAAATTCTAAAACCTAAAACCAATTTTAAACCCAAAATCTTAACATGAAATTCAGAGAGCATTAAAAATTTTCGAAAAAAGTTTCATCAGTAATGAACAAGACTTTGCAGGAATGATTTGATTAGACTTTTTCAGACCTATTCAGGCCTGTTCTGTGTGGTTATTAATCCTTACAAGCGTTTGCCAATCTATACTGAAAGCATTTGTAAAATGTATATCGGAAAGCGGCGCACCCAAATGCCGCCTCACCTGTTTGCTGTTTCTGATGAAGCTTATAGAAATATGATCAATGGTAATCCTTTCAAATTTTTAAAATTACAAGTTTGGAAATAATAATCATATTATGCAAATGGAACACCGAATGTTAATGACAAATAAGGAAAGTGTCCTTTCCCAAATTTCTCGAAAGGATGAATATTTCAACAGTTATATTTTCATGATGATTGTTGAGTCGTGGGAAGAATACTTATCATCGATAATAATAATCGTTGTAGTGACTTTTTTAAAGGTGATAGTAATCTTTTTGATAATCATAAAACTGGGAATAGCTTCTTTTGTACCAGGTTTAGAAGCCTTAATTAGGGTGACATTCATTAATTATTTTTTGTCAGTTATCCATTAGTTACGTCTAACATAAAAGTAATGATGAAAAACTTTTAGACCACAGAAATCAGTCAATGCTAATCACCGGTGAATCAGGAGCAGGAAAAACAGAAAATACAAAAAAAGTTATAGCCTATCTTGCTGTCGTTGGAGCACCAAATTCTTCTATGTGCGTTTCGTTTCAAAGTTGAAATTAATTTTCACCAATCATTTGCTTTACTTCGCCATCTTATTAACAGAAACAACTTTTGCAATAGCAAACGCATTTGGTAGTATATTTTATCAGTTATTGAAAATTGAAATAATTGATAATAGCAAATTGGATGATTTTTTGAGTTTTGAATTCGTTCACACACATATGAAAACATTTGAGTAATTTCAATTGTTAATATTCTCAAATTTTGCCAAATTACTCAGCCTTATGAACAAATAGTGATTTTTTTTGTTTGCTTAACTTACTGATATTTAAAATGTGTGATTTGATAAGAACAACAGTTCATCTGCCATTCTTAATCATTTACGGGTATTTCAAATGACAAATCCAAGCATACGGAGGAAATGAATGTTGGAATTTTGGAATTGAACTTCATAACTATTCTAGCAAATCCGAGAAGAATGGCAAGGAAAAAGTTTCTTCTATTGAAGATCAAATTGTGCGCACTAATCCGGTACTTGAAGCTTTCGGAAATGCGAAAACTGTGCGGAACAACAATTCATCACGTTTTGGGAAGTTTATCCGGATTCACTTCAATGCTGGCGGAAGACTTGCTGGAGCCGATATAGAACATTGTAATCAGTTTGTCTTCTGTTGCAAGATATCACAGTATAGTAATTTTGTAGAACTTGAACATTTCGCAAAAAAATATGGTAAAAATATATAAATTTTTTTAAAAATATCACTCTTAAATCGTCCTAATTGCTTGTCTCACATTGGACTTGTTTGTTATAAAATTAATTTTATACAAAAAGAAGAATCAAAATTTTGGGTATATATTCATATACTAAACGAGCCCTTCAATTAACTTCAGTCGCTTGATCTATTCGTCGCATTTACCAACAAATTTTCCGAGAAATTTTTTCTCCCACCGAAACAAAAATGTGTTTTTTTTAATTCTAGTGGACAATTTCACTTAAATTGCAGATCTGTTGGAGAAATCTCGTGTGATCAAACAAGCTCCGGGAGAACGATGCTATCATATCTTCTATCAGATTATGTCTGGTCAAATTGCAGGATTAAAAGGTGAAATGAGTTTTTCTCATAAAAATTGAAAGAATTCATAAGCAGTGTGGCATTTTGTGATCGTTTTAAAACTTTGCAAGTTTTTTAACACTTTTTTTTTTGATATATTAGAGAATGAATGTATTAGAAAATGAATTTATGTAACCAACTGGCTAAGTAGCTGAAAACTTGCTTCTAATTGCAGAAAAATTATTTTTAACACGTGAAATAAGTGACTATCACTTGATTTCTCAAGCTGAGGTGACTATCGATGATGTGGATGATAAGGAAGAAATGCAAATAACTGATGTAATTGATTATATAATTTATGACTTCGTTCAACATAATTTCCATCTAATTTCAAGTGATGATCTGATAAGGGTTGGATAGGCTTTTTGAGGCTACTTCAGGTTTCCCCTTTTTCACTCTTAAGTTACTTGGTTAATTGAATTGATGAATTCTATTGGAAATAACTTTCGCATATTTTCCAAGGAATCATTCGATATCATGCATTTTGTTGAACAAGAAAAGCAGGATCTGTTTGCTTTGGTGGCAGGCATTATGCATATGGGTGAAATTAAATTCAAGCAGCGACAAAGGGAGGAACAAGCGGAATGTGAGGATTATCAAGGTAATTGCATCTAATTAGGCAGTATAAAGTTGCCAGAATTTAATCAAACATCTAATCTCTGATTGTCATTTCAATCCCTGCATGAAGAGATTGCAATGCAGAATAATATTCTCTTTTACTTTTGCAAAATTCTTAATTTAAAAATTGTGGAGAAGCATCTGAAAGTTTGATGAGTTCGTGAATGAAAAATGATCGAGCGTAGCACATTTCAGAAGGTGATTTGGCTTGCAAGCTGTGGATGGTTGACACGAACAATTTCATATCTTCATTATTAAAGCCTCGTGTTAAAGTTGGACTGGAATGGGTGAAAAAAGGCCAGAATCTTGAACAGGTCACACCTTTTCCAATTGCTTACCCTAACTGTGAAAATTAAATGAATCCCAATTCTTGTTTGTTTTCTAATAAAGGTGAACTGGGCTGTGGGAGCACTAGCGAAAGCAATCTATGCCCGAATGTTCGCATGGCTAATTAAAAGATGTAACAAAACGTTGGACGCACAGGATCGTAGTCGCGATTACTTCATTGGAGTGCTCGATATTGCTGGATTCGAAATTTTCGATGTAATTACTTATCATCAGAAGTTTAATACTCTCTTTTTCAAGTATTTGCTAGATCTTTAGATTACCTGCTTATTATCGTGGGTAGACTTTAGGAAAGAACATCGTTAAAAATGTAACTGTAACTTACGAAATTTACATTGCAGCGTTCATTGCATTTCAGTTTAACTCATTTGAGCAATTATGGATTAATTTTGTAAATGAGAAATTACAACAATTCTTCAATCATCATATGTTCGTTCTGGAGCAGCAGGAATATCAACGTGAAGGAATTCATTGGGAATTTATTGATTTTGGTTTAGATCTTCAAGCATGTATCGAACTCATTGAAAAGGTATGAAATCTTCACCAAATAATTTTCCATTGAATCACTGAACATTCCCATTCAGATCAACAGTCTATACTTTCAACTATTCTCTTTTCTTTTAAACTAATTTCATGCTACTTTTTACTACAGTTTTTCTTCAGAAAATCGATAGCTTTTGTCATTTATATTTTTCGATTTTGAACAATTATATTTTAAGCCACTTGGTATAATTTCAATGCTGGATGAAGAATGTATTGTGCCAAAGGCATCTGATTTTACGCTGGCTCAAAAACTCAATGATCAACATTTCGGAAAACATCCCAACTTTCAGAAGCCTAAGCCACCGAAAGCAAAACAGGCCTGTAAATTGAAAGAGTGAAAAATGATTTGTAAATCTATGAACTCTCAGTTTTCTGAAAATCTTGATTTTAAGAACTTCCAAATTTTAAAAAATCTTACGCGTTGCCAGAAAATTAGATAAAAATAAGGAACTAATAAAAATGAGCAAAAGTCATCAGTCACTGAATCGTAGGAGCATGATTTGCTCATCATTCTGGCCGTTGCACAAATATCCTGATAGCTTAAAATTCCAGGCTGATGCACATTTGGCCATAGTACATTACGCGGGTACGGTACGTTATAATGTTACCGATTGGCTAGAAAAGAACAAGGATCCGCTTAATGATACAGCAGTCAGCGTTTTGAAAGCAAATACTGGAATGGTTTTGATGACACAAATCTGGGAAGATTACAAAACACAAGAGGATATAGCAAACCTGAGTTAGTGTACTTTCCATTTATATTGCTAAAATATCCAATAGACATTTGACCGAATTTCAGAAAATACGAATGTTAGAGTAAAATTTATTAAATTTTTTGACGAATTTTTCACAGCAGTAGCACAAAATCTGTTTCATTTTAGTGACAGTACACTTTTAGTTAGAAGTATCGATTGGTCTTTTCTGAAATTGATCCCTATTGTTACTTCCGATCAAATTTTATGTAGTTATAAAAAAAAAATGTATTATAGTTTAATCTAAAAATCACCGGAACTTATAGCAAAAGATGGTAAAACAAGCAAAAAGAAAGGCAAATCAGCTTCATTTATGACAGTTTCAATGATGTATCGAGAATCGCTAAACAATCTGATGACTATGCTTCACAAAACTTATCCACATTTCATCCGTTGTATCATACCGAATGAGAAGAAGCAATCAGGTACTCCTATAGTGATCAAATCCCAAATATTTCTAAAATTTAAACTTTGCACATAATCATTGTTCCTCTCTCTTTTTGGACACTTCAAGTTCGTTCCAGGCGTAATTGAAGCTTCACTAGTACTCAATCAGCTCACTTGTAATGGTGTACTTGAGGGCATTCGAATTTGCCGTAAAGGTTTTCCAAATCGTACTTTACACGCTGAATTTAAGCAAAGGTATCAGTGGTTTGAAGTTTTGTTTTTGCACGTAGTGCGGAAACATCCACCATTTGGATTACTTTTTTACCAACCAAAGTTAACATTTGGGCATTCTCTCATAACGATTGGTTCTATAAACAAAGTCATCGATAACTTCTTATGTGAACAAGTTTAGCTGAAATGAAAATTAATTTTTGGTTTAATTGTTCCACAATATAAATTAAAAATTAGATACGCTATCTTGGCTACTGAAGATGCATCTTCTGAAACCGATCTCAACCAATGTGTTATAAAAATGTGCGCAAAACTGGAAAAAATTGGGATTTTGAAATGTGAAGATTACTGCATTGGAAATACTAAGGTTGTTTATGAACTTTACTTTTAAAAGCGTCTAATATGTGTACAGGGATATCATTTTGAGTGAAAACTTCAAGGATATCCTCAAAAGCGGGTTAAGAAAATATTACTATTACAAGCGGGAAGAGTGGAAATTTTAGTAAAGACTAAAATTCAGATGACAAAACTCGAAATTTTCTTCAATTTTTCAGGTGTTTTTCAAAGCTGGCATCTTTGCTCAACTTGAAAAGCTTCGAGATGATGCTTTATCAATCATAATAACCAAATTTCAAAACATGTGCAGACATTATCAAGTTCAGTGTGATCTTCGTTGTAGAATGCAAAAGAAGTGAGTATTTTTTCACACTGCTATTTAAAATATCGCCTCAATTTTAGTAAATTTAAAGTCCAAATATATTTCTCATTAATTTGTCAGTGATTTTAATTCGAACTATGAAAATAATGAGTCATCTCATTTAGAGCTGGTATCTTATTGCTGCAACGCAATATTCGCGCATGGTGCACATTGCGTAACTGGAATTGGTTTAAGCTGTATGGTCGTGTTAAACCATTGATCAAAGGAAGTAAAAAGGTAAAACAAGTTATAGAAAGAATATTAATTTGCTCGGAAGTGAAATTACGAGGAAATGAGCTTTTCACTATATATGTCCAATGTTTCGTGACTTTATGTTGTAAGATTAAGAGCAGGAAAGGTAGATGCATACTTTATCGCTTATAAAAAGTCTATTTTGAGAAATATGAAAATTCTCGAAAAAATGTGTTTCAGGATGAAATATTTGAGGCATTGCAAAAGAGAGTGAAGGAATTAGAAGAGAATTTTAATCGTGAAGAGAAACTGCGTAAAGATAGCGAATCGGAAGTAGCCAAGTTAATGACCGAGAAACAACAGCTTTTCCTACAGCTTGAACAGGAAAAGAGTGTGAATGCAGAAAGAGAAGAGAGGGCTGCTAAACTTTTGGTTCAGAAAATTGATGTCGAGAAACAGGTAAGAATGTTGTTATTTTTTTCAAATAGGAATCTTTTCGATATAAACACTGGGAGTATTTATTATTTTCGGTGTAATCATTAACCTTCATTTTGCAAATTTCAAATAAGGATTTATAAATGAAATTAGTATCACTTGTACAAGCAAAAGATGTCCAAACTTGTTTTACTTCGATTCCAAAGGAAAACTGAGATATACCTTCAAATCCAACATCCTCCTTTATCTGTATCATTTATCTCGAGATGGTTAACATTACATCTCAGAAACAAAAGCTAGCGATAATGAAATAATTGTCACTTTTAATTTTACAGTTTGCTTATGCAAGCGAACAGCTTGCTAAACAGGAAGACAGAAATGTAACTTTATCGAAAATGAAGAGTAAGATAGAACATGATAATGAAACTCTGAAACGTACAATCGCTGAACTAGAAGCGACTTGCAAAAAGCTTGATCAAGACAAGCAAGTCAAAGATCATCAGTTTCGATCCTTGCAGGTCCATTTTTTTTGCACTTTTTTTCGTAAATGCTACTTTTTATTTTTCTCCTTTTCAAGATTGGGTAAAATACCCTTAAATCAACAAAATTGAAACAAAGAATTGTAAAAATTGAGTTAGAAGTAACCATACAGTAAAAATTGACAAAGTTTTCGCGTTCTCCTAGAAAGTTTTCAATCTTATGTTTTGTTTTGAGGATGAAATAAGATCACAAGATGAAATAATTGTAAAAATCAACAAAGAAAAAAAGCAACAAGAAGAGGTATGTGTCACAGAATTCTTCTTCAAGCTTGATTTCAAATTTTATAAAGCACTGCTTAAATTCGAAGAGTGAATTTTTTAATAATTGGAATTATTTGTGCTTACAAAAAAAGCAAGCATTGTAATATAAACACTCTAGACCAGATTTGAACCAAAAAACTTTTAAACAGTTATTTCGATTAAATGATTAATATAACAGAATGAGTCTTGTCACTATTAAATGATCGGTCATGGCGTCTATTGTTATAGACAAATCGCAAACTTTTGGAAGAAATTCAAACTGAAGAAGATAGAGTGAACCATCTGAACAAGGTGCGGAATAAACTGGAGCAAACATTGGATGAGATTGAAGATAATTTGGAACGAGAACGACGTATACGTCAAGACATTGAAAAATCAAAACGTAAAGTTGAAGGAGAATTGAAAATTGCGCAAGAAAACTTTGACGAGTTCATGAAACAAAAACATGAAATGGAAAAAGCACAAAAGAAGTAAATCAGTACTTTTTGACTAAATTTTTCCCTGTGCCAAGCATGTTAACAGTGACTTGTCCATTTTTGCGAACAGAAATCGAATGTTGAATTGGATTTTAACTTCAATATTTTGCAAAGGCAAAGTTGACCAAATAAAATGACTTTGAGTGCTAACAGAAGAATTTAACTTTACAAATCTTTTAAAATCGATAAACTTTATTGGGAAGAAATATTTTATTATGAAATAATTTTGAAGGAAAGACAGTGAAATAGCTTCAATGCTGAATCGTATAGACGATGAACAATCACTCGTAAGTAAAATACAGCGTCAATTGAAAGAACAAATAGCGCGTTACCACGAACTTGAGGAAGAGCTTCAAGCCGAAAGACAAGCAAGACTAAAGGTTAGTCACTGGGTTCTTTTTTAAATTTTAGAGTGGTTCGAGAAACTTGAATCAGTACTTAGTTCATATTGGACCTTGCGGGGATCGATTACATTGCAGAAAAGATTTTGAGCTTTTGTTTTACAATACAATAATATGATAACATCGTTTGGGAATGCTTTACTTCTAAAATTTTTCGAATCTTTGCTTTGATAAAGTATTGAAATGAGGTAGAAATGTTCCCGCAGTGCAAATATTAACACTACTGGAACAGCTCTGAGAGCATTGTGATAAGTTAAATTTCGCATTTTATAGCGATTATTTTATAATTCTTCTAGCCTTATCAAGCCAGTATTTACCACTTACAAATTCTTATCTTTATGATTTCGAGTTTTGAACCTAAAAATATTGAAAGATCGAGAGAAGTCGTAGTGAAATGCAAAAGGAACTCGAAGAGCTTAGCGATCGTCTTGATGAAACAGGTGGTGCAACGCAGGTGCAAATTGAATTAAACAAAAAACGTGAAGCAGAATTGGCTAAACTTCGTCGAGATTTGGTTAGAAAACGCCTACATTTCATGATAGTTTGACTTTCGAACTTACACACTGCTATTAATCGAACTTTTCTATTCGATTTTTAAACTGCTTATTTTCTATGAGTGCAATGTATTGTGATATGCATGAGCGTAATTACAGTCTGTTTAAATTGGAAGTAGGCTTGGTTGACATTGGCAATTTTTAATTTGAAAGATGTCAAATCACCGCGGCTGCTTTTGCAATGGAGTGAATAACCGTACAATTTTCAGGAAGAAGTATCACTGAACGCTGAAACAGCTCTTGCTAATTTACGTAAAAAACACAATGATGCAGTGGTGGAACTTTCCGAACAGCTGGATTCTGTCCAGAAGGGGCGAATCAGGTTATCTTCCTCCATTATCCGATCATTGCATGAACGCTTGGTCAAGTGTATTCAGAATTCTTGGGGAGAAAAAGCAAATTTTTGACAAAAACTTGCTAATTTACAACAGTCAATTTTAGAATAGAAAAAGAAAAAGGCTCTCTACAACAAGAAATTGATGATTTGCGGAATCAATGTGATTTGGAAGCCAAACAACGCCAAAATATGGACAAACTCACTAAGCAGGTCCAAATTATAATATATTTTTATTTGGTTTTAACTCTTGCTAGGAATTTTTTGAATTTTAGTTATTAAAAAAACTTGCAAATTAAGTTTCAAATTCTAGTTGGAAGCGCAAGTAACAGACACTCAATTGAAAGTCGATGAACAAACACGAAATCTGCAAGAAGTTATTGCGACCAAAGATAAGTTGCAGATTGAAGTCAGCGATATGAACAAGTAATGTCGAAGACCTTCATTTTATTGTCTGCTGATATGTTTTTCTTCAATGCATGACTTAGTTGAAGTCAAATTGTACTGCGTAGAAAGGAAATTTGAATGAGAAATAGAAATTTGTCTTCAAAGAGATTTCTCTAGCCTTCAGTTTTGGATATAGAAAATATTTCCAGACAACTAGAAGACTATGAAAATCAGATAGCATTTCTGAATCGCATCAAACAGCAACTAACCATGCAGTTAGAAGAAATGAAGCGACAACTGGAGCAAGAGTCTCGTGAAAAGCATTCACTTAATTCACAGGTACAGTGAGTGGAGAAATGATAGTTCTGTCTGAACTCGAAATTTAAAAAAAAAGAAACGCAAAAACTTGAAATTTAGCTTTCAAACTTGGAACTTGAATGTCAGCAGCTTCGCAATATGATGGATGAAGAATTGGATAGTAAAACAGAGCTTCAAAGACTAGTCTCAAAGGCTAATGCTGAAGCACAACAATGGAGAGCTCGATATGAAGGTGAAGGAATGAGTCGATCGGAGGAACTGGAAGAAACTAGGTGATTTACATACCCCCTTATTTTGTCACATCTGAATCACTGAGATACTTCTAGAATTCCAGTTAAGCAACTAAAAGTACCATTTACTGATCTTTTACATAATGTATGGAAGTTGCTCACTATTGCTCGTCTATTTCGTTTAGCAAAAATTAAATATTTTGAGGCGGAAATTGCAAGCGAAAGTGCAGGAAATGCAAGAAGCACTAGATGTAGCAAATAATCGCATTAATTCGTTGGAAAAAGCTCGCCTGCGGTTGACTCAAGAACTTGAAGACGCGCAGATGGACGCCGACAAGGTCTCTTTCGTCAATCTTACTCCTATATACAGACTGAAATAACTTCGGAAATTTTAGGCATATATTTCTTGAAAAAATTGTAATACCGGTTTTAAAATATCATAACTTAACACTACATGATAGTTAAATATATATGCAAGAGAAGTTGTTTTAAATTTTTCTGATAGGATTTTGCTGCAATTTTGATCAATCGCCAACCACTGGTACTTTATAGCTCGGTATAAATATTGATTTCAGGCGAACAGTTTTGCAAATTCTTTGGATAAGAAACAAAAGGCATTCGACAAAACAATTGAAGAGTGGAAACGGAAATGTGATATGCTAACACAGGAACTGGAAGCAAGTCAGCGAGAGACGAGGACAGGAGCCACCGAAGCATTTAGACTTCGCAGTACTCTTGAAGAAACCGGAGAGCAGGCATTTTTTTTGTGTTCCTTCGAAAATGTTAATTAATTACATTTTAAAATTACTATTACGATTTCTCAGATTAATAACCGATCTACTTCTTCCTTGTACTGTTGTACTTCTTCCTCTTATATTACCATTTCATTGGGAGAAAGCCATAAAAAAGACCCCATTAAGGCTAGAAGTGCAAGAGTTAGTCGGAAGTACTTGTAGCTGCTAAGTAACATCGCAATTATAATTTATTTACAAATTTATTTCCATTTTCTGCACCCATTAAATGTAATGCATTTAGTTAGAAGTACTGCGACGAGAGAACAAACTTTTAACGGAAGAATTGAAGGGTGTTATGGATCAGCTTGGCGAAGGAGGAAAAAGTTTGCATGAATTACAGAAACAGAAAAGAAAATTAGAAATGGAAAAAAATGAACTTCAGGTCTCTCAACGAAAATTATACTTGAAATTACAGTTGCAAATATTATTTTTTTGTACTCCTTAGTATTAAATTTTGGTTATTTAAAAAAAAATTTTCAATAGAAATCAAATTTTCAACAAAATATTCAGCAAGCATTGGATGATGCTGAAAGCGCGTTGCAAACCGAAGAGAATAAAGTTTTGCGGGCACAAATTGAGATTTCACAAATTCGATCAGAAATTGAAAAACGTGTAACCGAGAAGGAGGAAGAATTCCAAAATACACGAAACAATCATCAGCGAGCTTTGGAGAGTATGCAGGTTCCTCAATTCTTAATCTAGTTTTTTGAAATCACATTCTTCAAAATGTTTAAAAAAATTAGTTCAAGACTTAAGCTTCATTCACAAACTGGTATCAGTTTATACATTTTACCTAACCTTATTTCTCGAGAATGGTGGTCGTAGGTGTGGTCATCCCAATCTTTATTTCTTTTTTTGAAAATTTTCAAAATTAAGGAGACTAACTTTGAAATGATACGTCGTAATTTAACTTTCATCTTTTTATTCCTGTTTATATTTAGGCTTCCCTGGAGGCAGAAACAAGAGGCAGAGCTGATTTGCTTCGTATGAAAAAGAAATTGGAGTCAGATATTAGTGTCAGTTTCGGATCGTCATTTGAAGCTAATTGTTGATCTATCTTACAGTATTGGGATTGTAAAGAGAATTTTACTTTTTGTTATGAGATGAATTATAGAAGTACTTTTTCAGGAACTAGAAGTAGCTCTGGATCATGCTAATCGTGCCAATATGGATATCCAGAAAACCATTAAACGTTACCAGGACAATGCACGTGAGTTGCAGGTAATAAATGCATTTTATAATCAGAAAATACACGAGGAAAGTTCTTCATTTTTCCACTACCTAGTATAATTTATTCGCAGTTTTCTCCATATCTATTCTATTGATGCCTAGAAAAGTTGCTGTGAGCCAAATATTTTTATTACTCCACCAGATTTTGCATGCGAAGAAAGGCCAGTTCTTTTTGCTAGAAGTAAGCTTTGTCTGGGATGTGACTAGTTCTCTTAGGTTGAGCTGAGAACTTATCAAGTCCGTGTTGTTGAAGGATCTAAGAGAATGTACAATGATTTTATGCTATTTAAATCGATGAAAGACTAAATAATACAGCATGCATAAATTAGTC